AGCAACCCGACCTGACCTGACCCATTTATTTTTGAGCAGGTCGGGTCGGCATTTTTTTGCCCCGACCCAACCCATCCTCACCCCTAATGTACAGTGGGTAGACAGTGAAAAGTGGCTGCTTATTTTGGAATCCAGAGCTCCAAAACACAGACTTGACATCATGAGACTTGGTCAGGTGGTGCATAATAGGTCCCAAAAAATGAATATGAAATAATAAAAGCAAAAAATAAAGTTTCAAAATGTGTGAAAAATAAAGAATGAACTTGATTTTTTTTCAAAAGCTTTGATATTCATTTTGGGGGAGTGGGAGTGCTGAGAGAAAGAAAGAATGGAACATGGGAAGAATGATTATAAATGAAAAAAATTGGAACCAAAAAAGGTTTAGCCAGGTTGGTGGTTCAGATTGGAGCCAAAAGAGTAAATTCTAATGCTTTGCTGCAATATGAGCTGGTGAATGCCCCACTCAACAGCTGTTTGAAGCCATCTGGAAACCAATTTTTCCAAAATTTTCATTTATAATCATTCTTCCAATATCCCAATCTTCTTTTCTCTCAGCACTCTCATTCCCCCAAAATGAATTTCAAAGCTTGTGAGAAAAATAAATTTTATTTTTTATTTTTCACAAATTTTACATTTTTTTATTTTTTTATTTTTTTTATTTTTTCATATTCATTTTTTACAACCTATTCTGCACCACTTGACCAAGTCTCATGACTTCAAGTTAAAGATGGCCCCATGGGACCCAGGTACCAACTGCTTTTTTCGGCCAAAACGGACACTGGGTACCGCACCCGCTCAATTATGACGGGTACAGGCGGTACTCCTGGCGGGTACCGCCTGGCTACCGGAAATCCTTCCAGGCAACCTGGTTGAGACCAATCAGGTCGCCAAGGAGGGCCCTTACCGGCAACCTGATTGGTCTTGATCAGGCTGCCAAGCAGGGCCCTTACTGGCGACCTGATTGTTCTTGATCAGGTTGCCAAGGAGGGGTCCTCTCCAGCAACCTGGACCAGACCAGTTAGTCTTGGTCAAGCCACCAAGGAGGGGGTTTGGGGGCGGGTACCCTTAAAGGTACCAGGGTACCGCCTGCTTTTTTGCCCAAAAGCAGGCACTGAGTACCGCACCCGGCACCACTTGGCGGGTACCATCAGGGGTAGGGGGGTACCCGCCAACGGGTGCCGGGTACCCCAAGGCCATCTCTACATCAAGTCTGTGTTTTGGAGCTCTAGAATCCAAAATAAGCAGCCACTTTTCACTGTCTACCCACTTTACATGGATGTCTGGACCTCTAGAACAGAGGGATCAAATTAGGGGACAGACAGTTTGAAAGAGACTCATGGTTTTTTTTTGTGTGTTGTTTGAAGATGATCAGCCAACTATGTATACAAACAAGTTTTTGTTTAGAGAATAAGGAAATCTGGTAGTGATCAATGGAGAGGAAAGTGCTCTGTTTACAAACCCACAACCACACCAAAAAAAAAGAGAAGAAAGGAAGGATCTACGCAGGAGTGTGTTATATGTATTCAAGTGAAGCAGTCATCTGTTGGAATTTAGCTTGACATCTCTCTCCATTTTTCTCAACATGTCACTCTTTTTTGTTATGTCACTCCTTTTTTTTATATTCATTATGCATAAGTGTTTGATCCCACAACTTGTGCTCTTTGTATCTAGAATACTTAACCATGACCGGATACTGAGATAATGAAAACATCAGTTCTTACTATTTTTAACTGGTCCTAAGAGGACACTTTAGCCTCCTCCTAGCCTTTGTCAATCACACTTAAGCCCAATTGCCCAAGTACAAAAATAACCAATCTCAGACTTCTGTCTGCTTTTGGCATCACCAACTTTTCCCCTCATCGACTTAAATTTCTTCATCATCAACACCAAAATACCATCAAGTCATGTGGAGAAGACAGAAAAAAAATGGGGACCAGAGGCAACCAGAAAGTATTTTTTTCTTCTAAGTTCTGATCAAGACAGAAGAAGCATTCATGAACCACTCAAGATGTTACTTTTTTGAATGTATGTATTTAATGATGTGAAAATATAAACAGACAGAAGACCCACAAACATCTATGTACAATCTACGTCTTCAACAAGAAGAAGACCAGAGCCAGAAAAAAGAAAAAAAAATAAGGACTACACAAACTGGATATGCTTTGGGAGTAGGACTTGAGAAACACAAAACAACAACTTTGCACTATGTATGAATATATCAACAACAACAAACCAAAAAAAAAAAAATGTGTGAGAAAAGTGATGATGAACAATTGGGTTTTGAGGGCTTGAGAGTTTGTGTGATCTAATCGTCCAACCCAACATTAATAGAAAAAAGAAGAAAAAGATGTATTTCAAAACCAAAACCAAAACTAAACATAAACTCAACTAAAAAACATCATCATCAATGTCATGGATAATAAGTCCCACAATGACGTACTGAATCAGGAAAGGAAGAAACAATGAGAAAGGACGCTTGGAATGCATGAATGAAACAAACAAACAAAATCAACTTGGTTGAAGAAGAAAAATAAGCGAGATCAGTCAAAGATAAGCAAGAGAGAGAGAAAAAAAAAGGAAAGAGGAGATGAGGGGGTGTCTTCTTGGTTGAAGATATGAGACTGGGTTTGTTTGAGAAGGTTTTTGAGGTTTGTTTTTTTGTGTTTCAACAAAAAAAAATGGTAGAAAGAAAGAAAAATGGAGAAAGAAAAATGAATATATGAATATATATATATATATACTTGTATATTCATATATATGTATGTATGTAAAGTACACCAAAACCAAAGCATTAAAAGTTATCTTATCATCAATGGGGGAAACTGAAAAAAATGAAAACTAGGTCAAAAAGAAGAATGAAGGAATGAAGAGAAGAAGAAGAAGAAAAGATGAGATGAAAAAAGGTAAGTATGGAGAGAGTAAGAGAGAGGAAAAAGAGAAGATGGAAGATTATTTTTCAACAAGAGTGGAGAACTAAAGAAGAAGGAAGGAAGGACAGAATGATGATCCAAAAAAAGAGAAAGAAAAGAAAAGAAAAGAAGGGATAGTGATATGAGAGAAGATGGATGATAGAATGGGAGAATTGTTCTAGAGAGGTAAGACAAAAGAGCTCATGGGAAGCTCAGGTGTGCACACAAGGACTATCATGGAGAGGCTGTGAATATATTTACTGCTAGATGATTGATAACACCAGCCTTACATCCCTTGTAGATGTTGCAAGACAGCCTACTCAGTTACGCCTTCTGGCCCAGGTCAGCTCGTTCAAGGATTTGCAAGTACCTTGAGAAATTAAAGCGACAGACGATTAGTATGAATTGATCAATAAGCAAATGGATCAGAAGAAGCGAAAGGGGAACTAACAAATACTTGAAGCTCCACAGCGATCCTTTCAATCGTTTGATATCCACCGCATACAGTCCTACCAATCCCCTCAGTCGAGTGATCTCCACAGCTATATCAAGAAAAAGGAAAGTAGGGTTCAGTTAGACTCCCGAGATCAATCTAAGAAAGGTTCGGCGAATCGGCTTACTGAACCGGACGTCATCACCACTGTCGACTGATGGGTCGTCAGCATAGGAAGGTAAAGGCTGAGCGCCGCTGGTATAATCGGCCCCATTAGCGCTACCAAGACTCCCTCCGGCGGATCCAGCCCCATGACCGCTGGTTGAAGCTACGCTGGGTCCAGTGGTGACGTGGCCAAATTGATCGATCAAGACCCCGATTTGCTGATTGGTGCTACTGGCTGTTTGAGGCCGTCGGTTGAAGATCGATTTGAACGCGCCGGTTGAGCCGTCTTGTTGGTGGAGCTTTTGTTGCTGCTGTTGCAGTGCTTCAAAGACACCCATCCCTAGACTAGCAACCACCTTCTTCTTCGACCGCCTCGTCGCCTTTAGCTTCATCGAACTCTCTTCAACCACATCAATCCCCATTTCCCAGAGTATCTGTTTCAGTTGCTGCATGATCACCGGCGGTAGCTTCGACGAAATCGCATTCTGGTCAATTGCTCCATGGTGCAACTTGAGCTTGTTGTCGTTGAAAACACCGTTTCGTTCGGACGCTGCAGGTGGTGCGTTGGGCGTATTGCTGAACTCTGCAGCAGTCGATGTGCTGGGGCGGGGATGGGCCAGGGTAAAGCGATGGCTAGCTTTGGAGGATACCGCCGACGTTTGAGTCACTGATTGATTTGACTGCAAGATATTTGAATACGAAATAGGTAAGAATATGGAGGGTGCCAGTTCGAAAAAGATAAACAAAAGCACTTACCATCAACGGTGCCGGAGCTTGCGAGGTAGGTTCGGGACCAACTGGAGGAGAATTGCCGTCAACACTTGATTGTTGGGCAAGCTGAGCGGGTTGATGAGCCTTCACTCTAGCATCAAAGTCCGTTGGAATTGGTACAGGAGGAACCAAATGATCGCTAGCATGAGCGTGAGGTTGGTTGGTACTCGTGGTACTGCCGTTCAAGCTCTTGAAACGGAACCAATCCATGACCCGCTTGGCTTTGCTGCTGTTGCTGGCCTGGCCAGTGCTGTTGGCAACACTTGCTGCGGGTGTGTGATGGCTCCAGTTGGGCGAAGCGGTTTGGCCCTCTCTCTGAGGACCACTGGTCTCCTCTTCGTGAGGGGGTGTCGCCTGCACCGAAGGCGGGCCGGATTGTTGAGATGCAGGTTTTTTCAGAGCGGTCACTAGAGGTGCTGAGCCACTTGCAGGCATCTTACTTGAGGCGGTGCGGCCGTGTGCGGCCGTCAGGGTAGTCCGTCTCTTGACACTAGAAGCTTTGGACTTATCAGATGTTGGTACTGGTGGCGGAGTACTGCCATCAACAGGAGGGTTCGAAGATGAAGCTGGAGCCATGCTAGTACCTCGTTGACGACGTTTTGATTGATCGGGCTGCTGAGCTTCCGCAGAGGTGGGAGTAGGAGGCGCGACCTTGGCAGACTTCCGGGTGGGTCGGGCGCCAGCAGCTGATGCAATTTTACCACTTAGAGGTTCGACAACCATACTGAGTGCTTTCCGCCTGGCTGTCTTCGCGACAGGGGGATTAGCAGTGGTGTATGCAGATGCCTTCTTGGGAGTAGGAACAGGTGGGGGGTTAGATGGCTGAGTTGTGTTTGCACCAAGAAGCCGAGAGAAGAATCGATCTGTTGACAATCCTTTTCTATGGCGAGCCTGTGATTTGGCGGCAGTCGCTTTGGATGTGGAACCGTTAGGCTGTGCAGAAGTATGAGAGGCGGCGCTGAAGGAGACTTGACTAGAAGTTTTAGTAGCGCCTACAACGCCTTGGTTGGCCAATGGCTTCTGAGAGGGTGAAGGAAAAGGAACAGTGGGAGTAGATGTCTCATCGGACCCAACGGAACTGGGGTCGAGCGCCTTAGGAGTATTGGACGATCCGGTTACAGAAGCTTTGGGATTTCGGCTTGGCTGAGGAGTACTCTGGAGCGGGCTGTCGTTGGCGTGCTTGGGTGTAGAAGAAAGTGAGACGTCAGGAGCTGGTGTGGACATCCGAGGCGTACTGACCTGGCCCTCATCAGTGGCAGTTGCGCCTTGAGTAGGGCTATGAGGCTCCAGAGCCTCGCCACCAGTGGTAGAGGGTTCAACGTTTTTGGCTTTGCCTTTGGCAACACCAGTGTATTCGACTTGAACAGTGTACCGCTGTTGAGACTGAGGTGCGGTGGGTGGAACAGAAGGAGATGTGGATGTACCGGCAACCTTGCGCTTCTTACCACTGACACTAGAGCCACTCTTCTTGGGTTCTTCGTCAATGATCATCTTGTCGCTCGGGATTGGAGGCACAGCAGCGATTTCTTCATTCTCCTTGTTGAGTGAGGATACCGGAACAATGACAGCTGATTGAGCCTGCTGATGTCGTCGATTGGAAGGAGTGGGAGCTGTAGTAGATTGATTACTGTTGGAATGTAAATGTGTGACGACACCTCCAGGGACTTGACGCTGTTGTTGCTGGTAAGCCCCGATGACATGATTGGAATGCAAGGCCTCATCAGGGCTGACCATGGCGGATGAAGGGACAACCATGGCACTCTGATGACCTCGGGCTCTATTGGCGGCCGCTGCATTGCCAGTGGCATGAGTCGGTTTTCCATCTGGACCAAGGGTTGGTTGGGATCGGTTGGCGTTGTTGGCAGCCATGAGTTGTCTTTGACGTTGAAGCATCAATCGTTTGGCTTGCTCATTTTCTTCAGAGAGACGTTCAAGCTCCTCCAAGGAACGAGTGAAAAGATGCTGATACCTTGATAGCCAAGAATGATTGGCGACGTCCTTGAGCGAACAGCGCTTTAGCGGATCGGGGACGAGCATCTTGAGGAGCAAATCCTTAGGTTCATCTGAGATCCAATCAGGGAAACTGAGGGGTGTGTTGATGATGTACTTGTAGAGCAAATTGATGTTATCGCCATCAGGGTTGGAAGGGTCGTCGTCGAAGGGCAAGTAACCGGCCAACATTGCATAGAGAATGACTCCACAGGACCAAACGTCAACTTGAGAGCCGACGTAGCGACCATCCTGGACAACAAGTTCGGGGGCAGCGTAACAGGGCGAACCACATGAGGTGGCCATGAGATCATTGGTACGATCCTCGAAACGATTGGCAAAGCCGAAGTCAGTGATAATGATGTTGCGATTTCGGTCAAGTAGCAAGTTTTCTAGCTTCAAATCCCGATGAACGATCTTTTTAGCGTGAAGATAAGTAACTCCAGAGATAAGCTGAGCAAACAGTTTTGATGCATCCTTCTCCTTCAAGTAGCGATGAGCTAAGATATGGTCGAATAGTTCACCACCTTAACGAACAAATCAAGTATGAGCAAGCTTGTGAAGATCAAGGTTCTGATCAAGGTGAAAAAAAAAGAAAAAATTGATTGCGTACCAGAGGCATACTCGAGCACGATCCCAATGTACTTTTCCGTTTCAATGACATCGTAGAGTCTGACGATGTTAGGATGTTTGACGAGTTTGAGGACATCGATTTCGCGCGCAACTTTGATCATCCTGGCTTGAGTATCCACGTTACCCCGTTTGATGAGCTTGATTGCGACCTCTTCGCCCCACCTGTCAGGCGAAGAATGGACACCCAGTTTGACTTTTCCAAATTCGCCTTCACCCTGAACATAAAAAAAAGGGGGATTATTATCAGTTTCATTGAGTTTTTTTGAAGGGAGTGGAAAGAGCTTACCAGAGTTTGAAGGAGTAGATAAGGACCGAAGTAAACACGTTGACGGGGCATGGGATGGGAGGGGCCGACCATGTTTACAGGCGAGGCGACTGGTTCGTGTTGGGTGCTCGGGGTTTGATGGACAGACCGATGTCGAGATTGGGCAGAGTGGGAGGCAACGGGGGATGGGGCATCGACATTCTGGGATTGAGCTGGTGGGCGAGTAGGAGGTTGAGCTGGATGCATGTTGAGGGAGGGCTGGGCAGGAGGAGATGAATGAGTGAAGGTGGGCTGAGGGGGTTTGAAGTCTGACAGACGGAGTAACGATTGAGGAGACGATCAGACACGACCACGAGGAAGGGATACTGATGAGGAAGAGGATGTAGGATGATGATGTTTGGGTGCGTATGTATTGGTGTTGATGATGCTGGAGGGAAGATGGGGGAAAGTCCAGATGGGAGATAGATGGGAGGGGGGAATGAAAACCCTAGAGCAAAAAAAGAGAAAAAAAAGAATCAGGACCAGTGCGAGGGGAGGGTGGGTGGTTGAGCGAGAAAGAAGGGCAAGGGAAGAAGGAGAGAAGGAGAGAGAGAGAGAGAGAGGGAGATTGTACAAGCAGAGAAGGAAAAGAAAGCTCAGTGAAGGCTGTCTATACTCTATGGTTGACGTGAGCGCCGCAGTGTCTGTGCCACTTCAACAGACCTCGGTTACAAGTGAAGGGGGGGGAAAGTCACAGCCTGGACAGGCCGAGGGATATTTTTGCAGGAATATAACGGGCGGGCGGGACAGAGAGGCAAAAAAAAGAAATTGGAGAGCTGGAATGGAATGTAGGAAAAGAGAGAGAGAGCGAGCGAGCGAGGGAGGGAGGGAGAAGGAGAAGCGGAGGAGGGTAGACGGCTGCTAGTAACAAGGCAACGAGCAAAGGAGAAGAGGGTGTGTGAGAGAGCTAGAGTTAGAGCGAGAGAAAATCAAGAGGGGGGTCACCGGAGGGATTTATAAAGAGAAGAGAAATGGGGGAGAGTAAAAAAAAAATTAAAAAAAAAAATAGAAAGAGAGAGAGAGAGAGAGATGTACAACAACAGCAAGAGAGAAAAAAACTGTGTACTTGGAAAAAAAAGGATTTGTACTTTGATTTGTATACAACAACAACAACAACAGTCTTCAGTTATTATTATGATGATGGTTGGATGGGTAGTGGAGAATCTAAAAAGTTAAGAAAAGAACTGCTTCGAGAGCATATGAACCCCTCTCTTGTTGAGCGCTCAGTTGACTCTTGAAACAGATGAGATGGGGAAAGTTGGATTGAATCTAATATTCTACAGTTCTTTTTAATTACAAGATTGGGTTCTTGAGGGGAGCTAGGCCCTTGGACAAAATCCAAGCAGACCTAAATATTGAATTGAAAGAGGGGAAGAGTGGAGAATTGAGTATACAAACCAACATAAGGGTGCGAAGGGTCCAGGTGGTTGATGTTGTGTGGTGATATTAACGATCAGAAAACTGGTTCCCTAGACCAGGTTATGAGCAAAGGGTCTCGTTTAATTCGATTGCAAGCCCTCAGCTTGTGCGAAAAACTCTCTTCGTCTGGATTGAAGACTCTCATCGTATTCCTTTACTTAGGAGCACTTGAACACTCAAAACTATCTCAGCCGGAAGAGCTCCATCGATTCGGCGCTTCCCAAGCTCAACTACTTCACTCCCCAGTTTAACTGACCTCAAGTCACTTCCCTGTGAACCAGTCATCATGTTCTATTTACTTATATGCAGTTCGAACTTCGAAGCTCGGGTCGATGAGGCTGATGATGACTATTAGATGACTGCTGAGAAAAGACTGAAATTTGCAGTTACACTCAAGATCGAACTGGTCCTACATAGACTCATAGTAGCATGCCCTTTCCAAGCTCAAAGGAACTCCATCCCCACTGGCAAGACTTGTCGACCTCGCCAGGAGGATCAGGAACCTTGCCATAACCAAACCCATCACCATAGAGCCGGTTGCATGCCGAAACTCTCGGAAGCTCGCTCCGAGTCTATGAACGCTCTGTTGTAGTCTTAAGAGACTCTACGGCTGATCGCCCCAGCATGTCTCTGGGGTTATCTTCATCCTTCCGAGAGTCAAAAAGCCTGCAACCAGTCGTGGTTTCCTCCTTGAACGTCTATGTAGGCCGAACTTGGTTCCATAAAGCCCTCATATCAAATTAGCATAAATACGTAAACAGGCACTTATCATACGTACCTCGGATGCTCAATTCCTGGAGCCTTCAATCGCGGGTTGCTGCCGATCTGAAGACTGTCGAATCTGGGAAGGTACATAGATGAGCGTCGAGGGTGTGAAGATAGCGAAGGATCATCCTTCCCAACTTTCAAGACAGCCCAAGACAGCGGCACAGCCGTGGAGATCCAAAACAGCTAATTCCCTAAAACCTGGAAATTTTCACGATAATTCCGCTCTGTGAAGGGTACCGTTGTTGACCTTAAGTCTTGGAGCCCCTGCTTCCAAAAGTACAGCTCAACCTCCACCTTTTATACCCGCCGACCCTGGCTCACTTCCTCCACTCCATCACATCGACCCTGGCTGACTGCCTCCACTTCATCTCAGAATTTTTCCTTATCCAATGCCAGTCCCTGTACTTCCTAAAATAATTGTTTTTTTGTCCCGCTCTTCCATAGCTAAATCCGTAATTGTGCTCAATCCTCAAGCGTTGAAGATCACAAGGTTTAGGGGTGATTGTACTGAGCCAAATTTGGCAGAAGGAATAGACCAAATGCGAAAAGACAGAATTAGAACCGATTAAGTCAATAAAATGCCTCCAAAGATGAAAGAAAATTGATTTTGGAGGGAAGCGATTGACTATGAGGGATGGAACTGTGACCGAAATTCCTCAATCTGAACTTGACACCATCCAGTAACTATCCATAATCTTCTTTCCTCCTCCACAGGCACTGTTATAGACCTTAAGTCTTGGAACCTGATCCTCTCCACTTGTTGTTGCCCCTCCCCTGTTTTATACTCATCAGCTTGCCACATCCACACTGCGGCGTTTGTCCTCAATTCTTCTATATTAGGCATAATTCATTCCTATTGTTCTTTTTCAAATCTCAGTCAAGCTCACTGCACAACTACCATACACTTAAACCGGTCTACGACGACTTCAACAATTTCATTGTTCAGCAACCCCCCACAGCTATTGCGAACTAGCAAACTCATTGCGCCAGGGTCTGAGTGAGATTGGATGAGAGGAATGGCAGCCCAACAGCAATTTTGAGAGTCGAGCACAGCCTGTTCGTCGGGCAAGAAGTGAGAACCGCAATGGTCGATTCCACACTGATGTCTGCTACCAAAGATGGTAGTGAGGACGAAGTGGTAGTGAGGTCCCGCTCGTTGAAGTTTGATGTTCAGGACGCATCCGGAGGGTAAATAATTCGGGCAACGGTGCCACAGATACGAGACATGTATTTGTATCGGATCGTATCGTATTTATTTTGAGCCTGATACCGGTATCAGTATTTCCTTGGTTGGTGAAAAAATACATTGTATCGGATTTGGATTTAAAAATGAAAAAAAAAAATTCGTCTTCGTTTTTTTCGTTTTTTCTTCAATACAGCCAAGTATCTTATGTATCAAATACGGTTTTGGTGGGATCAGTCATCTGAGACGATACAGAATACATTTCTCACTTTTCAAATACGATACATGTATATGTCTCAGGAAAGTGAGACAACACAAATCCGGTATTTTTGGGTATTCCAATTCTGAGACGATACAGATAAACGCCTGATACCGTATCGTATCGTCTCTGTGGCACCGTTGATTCGGGCCTTCCGTCTTCTCCACTTTGAGTAACTCCTCAATCACTCCCATCGTCGCATTCACAAAAATCTCGCTGCTCTTCTCATCATCCCCACTCTGGTAACAGTGCCGGTTTTCATCATCCGCCGAAATTGTGATTGCGGCCACACCCCACCTCGAGCCTAACACCGCCGCTCCAAGTGTGCCCGAGAATTGATTCTCAAGTCCCGTGTTTTCTGTTGAATCCCATTGATTTGTTTATAACTTATAAGCCCCCCCCCACATCAGCTTGCTTCCACCTTCACTCAGCAGCTCGCAACACCGTCACCTCTTCTTTTGTTCTCAAGTCCTCTATAAACAGTGATCTTTTTCAAAAAAAAGAGTTCAGATTAAGATGAATGAAACCAAGAAATCAATACACATCGACACTTCTCAGGATGAATTTTAAGGGTGGGGAGGAAAGAAAAAGGATGTATTACTTCTCTAAGTATTGCGACTTTAGCACTAAGACCTTCGATAGCCTTGTCATTCTGAGATTCCAGTTCTACGGCTGTTCGATGATTTGAGAAGGAAGAAGAGGAAGAGGAAGAGAATAGGAGTTGCTGATCATAGGAGCCATACAACCAGCCATAATTTGGGATCGTCATCACTCCTGGATTTGGCAAGGGAATGTTATTGTAGGATGGTGTCCTTGGCAGTAAGGCTGCTCTGTTCGGATCTCGGTGCGTCAATCTATCTCTTTATCGTTGAGTTGTTGATTAGCTAATTTGCGAATTTAAATAAGAAGAATAGGAGGAAAAGGCTGCTTACTTGCTCATCGTGAGATTTTTGTTTTGCTTTGTCCACACTTGAAAGTGACTGGTAGGTACGAGGTGGTAACCTGAGGAGTCCTTCTGGGTAGATGATGTCGATGATGCTTCAGACGCGGATAATGGTACCAAGGAATTTGGGCCCTCTTCTCGGATCGGATTGGCCACCACTCAATTCCCCTCAAACGGCTTCATGGACTATCAAGACCACTGGGATGATCAACCAGCAACAACCGTATAGAAAAAATTCAATGGTTTCAGATTGGTTGGGAAATGGAGGCATACTTGTTTCATATCTCATCCACTTTTGTCTCCTTTCCCAAACCGTTTTGTTTGAGGCAGAAGATCTAGAAAAGAAGGGCACAATTGGACTTTTATGTACTGCAATATTCTTCACTTAAGATTGCAACATGCAGGCCTCAGATGAACATCTGCTCACCTCTACTTCCATCATAATATTTCCTTTGTCTACTCCAGCTCATCGCCTTCTCTGTTTCATCTACTTGAAGAATCTGCTTCTCAACTTCCACATCTCTTCCCTCCACCAATAAATAAAAACACATCTTTTGCATACATTGATACACAATCTTTTGAATACATTGATTTCTTACTTCAATTGACAGAATGTTAAAATTGCCACGGTTGCTTCATCTGCAATAGCTTCTCTTATTCTCCAATACACAACAACAGCTCATGCTTGGTTCAGGATTCCAGTGAAAATTGAGTCCACCTTGCTGTGTAACTTTGAAAAAAAGAAAAGTTGGGCAGAATCTTGCCCAAATTCAAGTAATACTCGGGGACAAGATCTCAATGCAGAATTGGCTCTGGATTGAGGAAGTTGACTGGAGCTTACAAGACTTGAAACATCACCTGCTACCCTTCGCAGGTATTAAAATTATTTTTGGAGGTGATTTTGGTCAGACTTTGCCAGTTGTTAAGAGGGCAAACATGTTTTTACAAGCTAAACTCTTCATGTTAAATTTGTACCTCTGGCCCACAATTACTCAGTTTCAGTTGCATAAGAACATTTGTTGGCTTCTTGACATCGGCCAAGGAAATGGTCAAGTTGACTTTGTTCAAGACATTTGACTTGAATTTGGACTAATCTTAGTTGAAAAAGCTGTAAGCAACCTAGCAATATCTTTAATCAGATTTTTTACCAAGCCCTTATCTGCAGCAACATTTCTCAAACTGGATGTATGGCTGATTGATAAAGAAAAAGGGCTATAATTACTCCCCTGAATAAATATGTCGAAGAATTAAATGGGCAATGTAATTGATGCCAGGCCAGTCATTTTTCTCCACCTCAATTGATCAGATGACCAACATTACAGATAACGTGGTTCCTGTAGAAGTCCAATAATGTATACATACCACACTTCCCAGACCCCAGGATTGGCCTCAAAATTGGAATGCCTATCATGATTTTGTGAAACCTATGCTTACAAGACCGCTTGGCAAATGGTACAAAAATGAATTTCAGAGATATGCAGCCTAACATCATCCAAGCCAAAATCCTGACCGGACCCCACACTGGGATTGAATTGGCCTTCCTTGAGTAACACCGTTAGATAGTTTACCCATTGGACTGCTCTCAAGTGATAATGCAGCCAGAACATGATGAAAATTGTAAATAAACCACTTTTAGATAAGCATCTATCCCCAATAAAAGGTACAGTTTAGGAACTGATCCTTAAATCATCTACTACATTTGAACATTTGTCTCTATGCCAGAAATTAATCCATAAAACGTGGCGCCAGCCACGCTTTTCCCTAGTGATAGTGATGTCATTCTGAGCAGGATAGGTACCACCGATTTTATTATCATTAGGTAAATATGTAACTACAACATTGGAAGAATTTCGAATTTGGAGGAGAGACCAATCCCTATAACAAAAGTAAGCTTGGCAATGGGAATTGACAATGAAGATCGTCTCGAGAGACACCGCCGTGGCACACAGTGAAATTCTACTAAAGCGAAGAAAATCTTCGCCAGCTTCTGCCAAATACGCTTGCACTTGATGAGCTCCTGCTTAACTCCAGCGTTATCTTGAGAGCGCGAGCTCGATCTCCGCACAAACATATGGTACTGTGGTGCATCAGAAGACTTGGCCTGGCGGACACCGTTGCTTTGCATGCCTTCTTCATCTTCTCCGTCTCCCCTTGCCTGCACCGGTGCTTGCCTGCCGATCAAAAAAAATTCATCTCGACAATTGGCACACAACTTTCAAGTTCTTGTAACAGCCGTTCACAACCTTGGACGGCTACTGAACAATCTCTCTCTCGAAGGGGCGATGAACCCCTACAGCAATGGTCACATAGCAATGGATCACAATATGGAAGCAGTTTGTGTTGGGGCTCACCTGCAATTGCACATCATAAAAGATCAATCAAGAAACACGAAACCTTCACAGGCTTTGTTTTTTTGGCTTTCTCCTCTCTGTGTTTGTATGCTTTTGTAAATTACACCTTGTCAATTGGCTTTGCGATTGTCTTGGTTATTGAAGCTTACACGCTCCATAGTACAGTTTGAATATACTTCTGTCCTCATTACCACTCGGGGCGCTACAGAAGCATCCTACAATTTGAAAGTTGAGCTGAGTCATGATTCTACTACACTACATGAAGATCATCGAAATCACAGGCTGCCTTCCCTCACCAACTTCTAATAAGGGGGTTCACGTACTGCTGATTTCGAAATCAGCAGTCGAACTTTGCTGGAATGGTAGTTTTAAGGTTTATGGGAAACCAAGATAGTTTAGTGCAAGGTCCCCCTGTGGATTCAAAATCCCACATTTAAAGTTCATCAGGTTTGTGCATCAGCAAGCAAACCTTAAGCTGCATCAGCAGAGGTTTGGCTGGAACGTGAACTGCCCTAATATAAGGCTTGCAGACTTGGGGCTATGTTTACAGCTAATTTCAGAAAGGTTGTCGCCCTTGGTGTGGATTTTCCTTCAAGAAAAAGTGCTGGATATACCAAATTCATAGGCAAACTCAAACTCAAACCGCGTTTTTGCAGTAAACTTACTGTTTTAGCGCAAGTTTGTAGATGGATTTGCAAACTTAACCTGAATATACCTTGATTTCTGCTTGGAAAATCCAGCTCAAGGTGACAACCTTTCTGAAACTAGCTGTAACACCATGATCAAGTTCATTTTAGCAATCATGTAGATCAGTGAAAAAATGCCAGGTATTGTGTTTTGAATAAAGCTTGGACAAACCGAAGTTTTCCAAGCGCTAAAGTTATGGCATTATGCTGCTGTGCAGCAGTTAAAGCTGCTGGTTTTTGCCACACAGCTCTGGCTTGATTCACCTTGCTGTGATCAAGCAGGCATAAGCATCCTAGCCAACCACCACCACCACCATCGATACCGACCTCCCCCCCCCCAGTTATCCTGACATCAATCCTGACCGAGACATCCATAGGCAATTTTTCGATCGTACGAGGTATCCAGCAAGGTTTGTGCAATCCTAATGGCGCTTGAATGGTTCCTGGTTCGACTTCAGGCCATCAAAGCGTTGCTTGATGTTCCGGTTTCTCGGTGGTGGTTTTGTCATGCGAAGATCGACCTCGTTTTTGCAGAATTCAACAGAAGCTACTGGCCTTGCAAGCCTTGGACCAGACTGATCGCCCGGTGGCAGAATCGGTAATCGGACAAATGATCACAGATGTTCTGTCAGTCAATCTTTGGTAAAAGGCTTACAGAAAGTGTGAGTACGGTGTCCCACCATTAATCTAACGATTTCAAGTCGTTTTCATCTTTGTTCTCTTAATACCGATTTTCTTGCTGTAACATCCAAATCCCATACTGCTTTTAGGGAGCCGACTACCTTCCCTGGATTTTTTATCTTGGATTATCTCCTCAACAGTATATCACGAAAACATCAAACAATCATGGGTGAACCTGTCAATGCTGGTTTGAAATTTGCTACTTATCTTGTCCTTAACGAATGAAAACAGATCATTGTTACCAGCAAATTAGACTCTCGTTTACTCTTTAAGCAATGTAGTGATGAACAAGAATTTCGGATCAAATCCAAGTTGACAGCTGAAGAGCAATCGATTGCCACTCAGGATTCTTGTAGCTCAAAGTGTCAGCGATTTGAAGGAGATGAACGCTGATGCAACAAAGCTCATTTGACCTCTAATCCAAAAGCTTACTGAACAAAATTTCAAGTTCCGAGCTGGGATGGAGTCATTCTAACAACTGATTCCAACTCTACTCTTCAGATCGGTCACTCTTGACAAGGCTTGCAACTCATTGATGATAACTACAAGACTGCCTATATTCATCTCACCCAGTCGGTATTGAACATAAGATTTGCTTTATGTTGATCTTCCTGATCACAACAAGTAACAAGGATGATAGGAAACGGGTTATGGTAAATGGGATTGAACTGGGCAAGAAGCAGGATAAGAAATAGTTCAAGATTGACAGCATATCATTTTGTGAGGTGGAATAATGACTGTATACAGAAGGGATGATGCAAAGCGGATAAAAAACACCATCGTTCCCAATGTCAGAGTTACAATACCTATCAGGATTTAGGAAAAGATTGGGATGATTGCATTGAGCCTCCAGAATTTGCAACCGATAGGATAACCCAATGACGTTCTATCCCTTCCAAGAAGCTTGTTTCCCAACTACGCGATTGATCCAATTTTTGAGCTGCCGATGCTATTATCCATTGGTCGTTTTTGGTGGCCAGTTTTGGAGGGTGGATTAGAGATAGCTGGCCACCTGGATTGTGAATCCGCATCAATCGAGGCTGCTGTGTCGAAGGTGATGATTGGCTATGACAACATCATGGCTTTGAGAGGGCAAAAATAAAATAAAAATCCAAACTTAAACAATGAAAATCCAGGATTTTCAAGTGAAGATGCTGTGAATCTGTCCAAGCATTCTTCAAAACACAATATGTGCATCGACTGTCCTACAATTCTTAGCACATCATCATCTATGTTGATTGTGGCCTGCACCAAAAATTCGAGTTAGTCACTGTGTATACAACACTTACAACAAATTGGTGCAGGAAATAGGCTGATATCAGCATTGATCTTTTATGTTCCAAACAACATTGGCCTTTCCCCCCCAGAAGTTGGATAAGCAGTCTGTGTGTGAACAATACAGTGACAACCAACTGGAAATTGGGTTGGTCAAGGTTGTGAACTTGTGGATCATGATGTGGTCAGAATTAGATCCCTGTGAACACAACAAACTGTCTTGCATCAAAAAAGCCAAACTCAAGTTTCTACCATATAAGACAGTTTGTCATGTTCAAATCAAAAGTTTTGCTTCCACTTGTCCCATGCTATTTTTGTGACAATTTTATGTATTGTGGAGCCCCCTGTGATTCACTGTTTATGTACCAGCCAGCACTAGAGCTGGCTTTGTTGGGCTCAGCAAATCCAGATCCTTAAACTTGTTACTTGGTGGTGCAACCCCCAACACTGATTGCTCATCATAAAACCCAAGATTAGGTGGGTTGTGTGACCAGTGTTGATGTTGTGAAACTTTTTGGGGTGATTTCCTCCTCATCAAGTCAGTATACTGTAAAGTGTATCAGCTTAAGTCTCAGTACACTGCTTTGGCCATTACTGAGTCACTAAGGTTGATGTGTAGCTGCTACATACTGTACTGGCTTGCCAAGGAGGATAATTACTTACACAATGTTATGGTCTGCATCAGCTTGATGCTGACAGGTCCCTGCCAAATCTTGATTTATTCTGTTAATACTAAAAACTCCATATGCAGTTTGGAACACCATACCTAGCTTAACTGGGATGCACACAACCAATTTAAACTTGGTTGGATTCCAATCAATGAAATTATATAAATCCAAGGTCTTGGATTTATAATTGGTTGAGATGTAACCATGTTTAACCTGGTTAAGTGCATCCCAGTTTAACTGGGATACCCCCAACCTAGCCAAATATTCTGGCAGTGTTCTTCAAAAAAAAAAAAAAAACTTGAAAATGCCATGCTCAAACCCATAATTATGTACTCACATGAAAACTCCAAACAAGCTTTCAAGTTTTTTCCGACAGTGCTTGCCAACCTGCTTCATTTTGTCAAATATTTATTCAGCTTTCCTACATCTCTCCACATACCCTACTGCTCATATTTTTTAGAACTTCATCCAAGAAGTTAAATGATAGCCTGAAAATGATTCAAATTTGTTTTGTTTGTTTTGTCTTTTTTACCACTACAACACTGATTGTACAGTGCCCTCCCAGGTGTATATAGCCAACTTGTTTGGATTACACAACCCTAACCCACCAACTTGCAATCATGTGACTTGGGCAAGTGGTATAAAAGAGGTTTCAAACAATGATTTTGAAAACAAAACATGAAAAACTGATTTTTAAAATTTGCAAAAAAATATTACAATTATTGCACTTTTTTCAAAAGCCTCAATATTGCTCCAAATGAACAAATAAAGATGGGAACTTGGAGTATGGTATGCTGGAGAAATGATAATAAATGAAAATTACGATGAAATAACTACCAGATGGTTTTAAACTGGTGTGGAGGGAGACATTCATCAGTCTCACAGTGGAAAAAACAGTGGAGGAGGCAGTGCTATCAAATTCAACTTATGTTTTGAGCTGGATACTGAGGTCCAAATAATTTCTGGTGTTGATTTTTTTTCATTTGTTATCATTCTTATTGCAATATACCATGCCACTCTTTCCATTTTTTTATTTTTTTATTTGGAGCAATATTAAGACTTTTGAAAAAGGGCCTTAATAAAAAAACGCGGTTTTTCCGCGTTTTGACGCGGTTTTGATGCGCCGCAGCACACGCGGTTTCCGCTTTTAGACGCGGTTTTTTAATTAATTTTTTACGGCTTAATTTTCGAGTTTTTTTGAATTTTTAAAGGGCCTTAATAAAAAAACGCGGTTTTTCCGCGTTTTGACGCGGTTTTGGCTGCGCGCAGCACACGCGGATTCCGCGTTTGGACGCGGTTTTTTATTTAATTTTTTACCGCTTATTTTTCGAGTTTTTTTGAATTTTTACAATTGTTTCCTATGTTTTAAAGCGTGTAGAATTTAATGGTAAAACCCATTTGTCATAAAAATGACTTTTGATTATTAATTTTTTTTTCCACTCATTTTTCAATTATTTGTTTGCATGCATGTATGTACCTTATTTTTTATGTTTTTTGAAAATTTTAAATTTATTTCCTAGGTTTCACTGTGCGTAGAATTTAATGGTGTACTCCAAATTTTTTAAAACTCAACGGTTAATTTTCAATACTGAAATTAGACACATTTTTTCACTTAAATTTCTACAGGTTAATTTTCATTCTTTTTTGACATTTTAAATTTTTTTCCTACACTTTAATACATGAAAAAAATGATGGTAACAATCATTTTGCATCAAAATGAAAACTACATCTTGAATACTGCATTTGACACTGTTTTTTTATTTAATTCTTCACTTTTTCACTCAATTGTTTGCATTAATTATTCTAGCTTATTTTTTATGCTTTTTTGAAATTTCAAAGTTTTTTCCTACATTTAGAAGTGTTTAGAATTTAATGGTAACCTTCAATTTCCATAAAACTCAACGGTTCATTCTGAATACTGTAATTAGTCATATTTTTCAATTGATTTTTAAGAGCTTAATTTTCATTATTTTTTGACATTCTAAATTTGTTTCCCACAATTTGAGACATGTTCAAAATGATGGTAACAATCACTTTGCATAAAAATGAAAACTATATCTTGAATACAAATAGAAATTCAAAAATTCAAAAATGACTTCAATGGGGCTTGAACCTGTGACAGCGCTTGGAAGTACAAGTATTCCCAAAGTGGTAGCTTTATACCAAGTTTTATTTATAAACTAGTTGGCTGGCATCACCTTGTTGGATAGTGTCGTGGTGTCCAGGCTGATCATAATCTTGACTAGAGTCTGCCTTGTGCATGGGAATCTGGAGAAATGATTGGTGTATCCCTTTCCGATGATTGGGAGTGTTCTTTTTTGGAGTTTTTGAAATTTTGGGAGACATTTGAATCAAATTCTCTTTTTATTGTATTCAAATAGCCTAGGAAATAAAGAACTAAATAAAAAAACGGTGTCAAATGCAGTATATAAGATGTAGTTTTCATTTTGATGCAAAATGATTGTTACCATCATTTTTTTCATGTATTAAAGTGTAGGAAAAAAATTTAAAATGTCAAAAAAGAATGAAAATTAACCTGTAGAAATTTAAGTGAAAAAATGTGTCTAATTTCAGTATTGAAAATTAACCGTTGAGTTTTAAAAAATTTGGAGTACACCATTAAATTCTACGCACAGTGAAACCTAGGAAATAAATTTAAAATTTTCAAAAAACATAAAAAATAAGGTACATACATGCATGCAAACAAATAATTGAAAAATGAGTGGAAAAAAAAATTAATAATCAAAAGTCATTTTTATGACAAATGGTTTTTACCATTAAATTCTACACGCTTTAAAACATAGGAAACAATTGTAAAAATTCAAAAAAACTCGAAAAATAAGCGGTAAAAAATTAAATAAAAAACCGCGTCCAAACGCGGAATCCGCGTGTGCTGCGCGCAGCCAAAACCGCGTTAAAACGCGGAAAAACCGCGTTTTTTTATTAAGGCCCTTGAAAAAAGTGCAATAATTGTAATATTTTTTGAAAATTTTGAAAATTGGGTTTTCATACTTTTGTTTTCAGAATCATTTTTTGAAACCTCTTTTATACCACTTGCTCAAGTCTCATGATTGCAATTTGGTGGGTTAGGGTTGTGTAATCCAAACAAATTGGCTATATACATCTGGGAGGGCACTGTACTTTCATGATTATGTGTAAAGCTTGATAATTTGCTCTAAGAAGATCCACTTTCTAAGTGTATTTCTAGTCAATCAAATCATGATATCAATGGTTTCATGAATTTATGAAAAGATGATGAATAATCATCAAACTCCAAGTGATCTTTAGATGCTCTCATATTTGATTCAACAACAGTAACAACACATCAAGCTTTGTTGAGCAGATATCTCCACCTATTATTGGTGATTAGGATTATGCCCTTAGGTAAATGCCCCCCATGTATTTGTTGACATCTCCCAAATACTGTCAAAAAATATTGGTTGGGAGTTGTTCCCCCAAATGGATGGCCTACTTTGGGCCTTGCCATTCATTTTTATTATTTTTTATTTCTTGGGAGTCAGATTCCCAAACCATCCCTCCAGGAAATTGTTCCCATCATTGAGGTACTCATACCTCACTCATTGGAAGGGAATCCTTCCAGTGAGATACAACAGCCACATTGACCAGGAGGATTTACTTCCAGTTGATGAGGTCCAACAAACTCATTAACCAGTTGTTGTACCTCTTGACCAGAAGGATCCTTTTGGTCAATGAGATTGTTGTACCTCTCCCTTCCTGTCAGTGAGGTATAAGTCCCTCATGACCAAAAGGATTGCCTTCTGGTCAAGTGGGAGCAACCCCAAACCCACCCCCCTATGTGTGAGGGGTGGTTTGAGAAGCCAACTCCCAAGAAAAGAAATGGATGGCCGGCTCACAAATTCAGCCATCTATTTGGGGGAATGACTTCCAACAGACACCAATTGACCCAATTGGCAAGAGGCAAGAACTCTTGACAAGTAGGCCATTGTGTGAGGGTTGAGATCCCTTCACTAAATTTTCATGGAAAATAACCTTAAAATTGGTTGTGGCACTGAGGGATACTTTATAGAACCAATGATGGATTAAATTTCTAGATCATCAGTTTTGAAAATAAAGGAAGAGTCTCTGGTGAGCTAGGAGGGGGAGAGGGGCAATGAAGCTTGAAGTAGTGGGGAATCTTAATTTTTGTGATATCTTTGTGAAACCTGTAGAGTGGGGTTTCACGCATTGACCTGCTTGGCAAGAGGAAAGGACTTTTTTGTAGTAAGTGAAAGAACTAAAAGCAGATTGATGGCCTACTTGGCAAGAGGTCTTGCATCTTGCTAGGTAGTTCAATGGCTGTTGAGTTTTCCTCTTCTCTGGTCTACTCTTCCCCAAAATCACTCCTTTTTCTTTTTCAAGTCAGCATAAATCAGACTAGATTATATTTGTTAAGTCGCTTGTTTTTGGTTATTCTAAGCCCCCTTCTGAGTCAAATATGAACCTTAAGTAAATCAGCTTTTTCTAACTACTCATGTCTCTACAATTAATTCTTCTTTTTTCTGACTTTATGATTGATTTATCAAAGACTGATTATTTAGAATTAACAACTCTAAATATCTGTGGTTTATAGCATGTTTTTCTTGATTAACTCATCCGGCTTGACTAAAAGAGACTGAGAAGTTTTGTACGGTTTGTTTCTTCCAAGACTCATGTTTCTTCCTCTCAGTTTTTATTCAAAAAACATTCTTTATTCATTTTTCTTTCAACCACTTTTTGACCACTTGTACCTAGTCTATTTAATCCTAGCTAGTTGCAAGTGAATGAAAAACATTGGCTCTTACACTCTTTTTCCGTGAGCCCTTCCCAAAAATAATATCCTATATTTTTGGCCCTTCACCTCTTTTGCGCTTTGGTTTAAAATTTCAACAATGGCCTAGCTGGAGAGAGTGCACAACCTCTCAATGAGCAGTTCAATTACCTACTCGTGAAGAGAGCCTTCCAGCCACACTTCCTGAGTTGGCAGGCTGCTTCAAGAGTTTGCCAACTCCCAAGATCAAGTGGAAAATAGATAAATAAAAAAAAACTCCCATCCCCCTTAGGGGAGTTGGGAAGAAAACTCCCAGGATAGTCTCAGTATTATCAAGAGATGGTCCTGGGAACATCCCCCAAAATTTGGGAGCTGTTTTTCCAAGACCCCAAGATCAAAGGGAGTTAAATAGCAGAAACTGTAGAGAAAAGCAGAAAAAAAAGGATTGGATGAGAGGAGTCAATATCTCATTGAAGAAAATAGAGAGTAGTCAACAACATTTCTAACCAAACTGGCAGTAGCCAGTTAAGGATGTCCGAAATGGAATTCAGAGGAAAAAGGATGTGATTTGGTTGTGTTGAGAAGGAAATAATTTGGAGAGGGCAGCAATAAGATTGTATTGAGAGGGAGATGAGAATAAGAGGCAGATGAGAGATAGAAGAAAGAGAGTGAGACATCTCACTGTGAGAGAGAAAAGGAAGTCGAGTTGAATTGAGATGTAGAAGGGAATTTTGAGAGATACATTTATAGTTGAATTTGAAGATGGATATTTGATGGAGTTCAAAGTTCAAGTGGTTTGAGGCAGTTGGTGGCTTGGTGGCTGCGGAAGATTAGACAGATGGAAGTGGAAGTGACAGAGACTGCTGAGGAGGAAGGGTTGAAGTTGGGAGTTGGTGAGTGTTATCTACAGTGCACATCATCTCTTCTTGAATACCCCAGCCCTGCAAAAAAACACCAACTTTGAGCCATATTTTTGCATTCAATTCTCACAGTTAAAGTATGTAATACACCTCAAAAAATACTACATCAAACACAGAGCAGGAAAATATGTAGTACTTACCTGTAGGAAGCCCCAAAAATTTGTTATACCCTGTTATAGGCAATTTTTTGCCATGCACTTTGTATTTTTGTATTCTGTGTTTGATGTAGCATCTTTTGATTCATATTACATACTTGCAGTTTAAAAACTACATCTAAAAATACAGCTCAAACTTCATCCTTTTTTGCAGGGCTGGGGTAGTCAAGTAGAGGTGATGTGCACTGTAAATGGGAGATAACTATGTGCTGGATTGTAGTTGTGGGAGATTTGCTATGACTAGGTTTCAAGTGAAAAGAGGAGAATAACAGAGAGTGGACCAGAGCACTACAAAAGAAGATGTATCACATTCTGTGCATGCACAGTAACATCACATGTCACTTTGCATTTGCAAGATGCAATCAAAGTTTTAGTGGCCAAAATTCAATCACATGTTGTGAATGCAAAGTGATGTTGCATATGACATGTGATGTTGCCCTGCATTCACAGAATGCAATGAAACCCTTATTGTAGTGGAGGGAGCAGAATAGGAAACGGACCAGAGACTGGAGTTGAGAGAAGAATATGAGATGGGGAACAGAGACTTGTGAGTGAAGGAAATACAACTTGCATACCAACTCTGCCCACAGCAGGAAACGGGGGGTTGATTTAAGTTTGTGCAAGACAAAGTGTTGGAGAAACTGGATGAAAAACTGCATGACACATCTTCAGAATGTAAAGGCTGGCAGGGGTTCCATGCATGCAAATTATGATTTGACTCTCAAATCATGCATGGGTGTCATTGTAACAATCCTCATGAGCTCAATGGTGATCTTGCAAGTCCATTTGGGCACAATCCAAAGCACCACTTGGCCAATTGCTACCAGAGGTTTGGATTGTGTCCAATGGGCCTGATAGGGGGAGTGACTTGGAACATATCCAAGAGTTGATGCTTGGTAAAATACCATACATTGAGGGGAGAGGCTGACTGGCTGGCAACTGGCTATCCAGAAGGGACCCCTTTCACTTTGTGATGGTGGTGGCCTGCCAAGTGGGGCTGGGAGTGTGCCCAATGAGATTTTTCAGCATTGGCCAACTGGACTCTGACCTCTGTTTGGCCAAACTACAATGTGTGCCCAGAAGGGCTTGCAACACCATGATTAATCTCTCAAACCAATTTTTCTGTCAAAAGTTTTGAGCTTTACAACTACAATGTAACCAGACAACCCCCAGAAAGCATTAATTATTCCTTGAATTCTCTAGTTCCAAGAGTCCTCAGCAATTTCAAATACTGGCTTTCAATACCATCATACATCACAATGCCCTGTTGAGGTGTATGATTTGCTGAGACCCCCATTTCTGAGGGATTTCCAGGCTTCTAATTTGTGGAAGACCATGTCAGCCAAGTATCAAGATGGCCAACTTGGTACCCACATTTATGAATCCTGATCAACAGCTAGCCAACAAAGCCTGTCAAACTCATTCTTTAACAAATAGGCTTGGATGATTTTACAAGTGCACCCGAGAGGGCCAAGGATCCCAGGGAGAAGACTCAGCCAGCTACAAAGCCTTGGTTTGTTTTGATGTATTTAATTATAAGATTTTCAGAGAATGAGAGCGATCAAAATCTACCATGAAGGGAACGTGAAGCGGGGTTCCCACATTTCTTTTGAAGCTGAGAGACAAAATTCACTCAAATAAGTACAACCAAATCAGGGCTAATGTTGATATAAAGAACAAAATTGAGTATATATATATCTCGGTTTCTCAATCTTATAGATTTGGTGTGTACTCCAAGAGAAAGTTGGTTGTCTAATTATCTTTCATCTCGGCGGCTAATTTGTCAGCCTTGGCCTTGACATCATCGATGGCACCGACCATGTAGAAGGCACTCTCGGGTAAGTGGTCATGTTGACCAGCAAGGATACCCTTGAAAGATTCAATGGTGTCCTTCAAAGGCACAAGTCGACCCTCAAGACCAGTGAAGACCTCAGCGACAGCGAAAGGTTGAGACATCTGCGGGATAATAAGAGTAAGCTTCAGTTTGCGAGAGACAACACAAGCAGATAAATACAATCAAGCTTACAAATCTTTGGACCTTTCGTGCTCGCTCGACAGTGAGCTTGTCATCTTCAGACAGTTCGTCCATTCCCAAAACTTTACAACGATTATGAAACATTAGTGACACGGAAAATGTGGTACTAGGTATGAAGGGCTTACTGGCAATGATATCTTGAAGACCCTTGTAATCCTGCAACAATTTTTGGACGGCAGTGGCAAGGTTGTAGTGCTCGGGTCCAACCTAAAAAGTATGAAGGTTCAAAGTTAGGCGATCAAAAGTAGCAAAAAAGACTTGCAAGAAAATGCTAACGCACAATTCGGGGGTCGAGAAGACGAGATTTTGAGTCAAGCGGGTCGACGGCTGGGTAGATACCTAATTCGGAAATACCTCGGGACAGCACGGTGGTGGCATCCAAGTGAGCGAAAGTAGTGGCCGGGGCAGGATCGGTCAAATCATCAGCAGGCACATAGACGGCTTGTACTGAGGTAATCGATCCTTTCCGTGTAGTTGTAATTCTGAAGGGAGTCCATTGGTTAGAAACAATTCATTCTGCGTAACACGAGATAAGATCGGCGAATGCTAACCTCTCTTGCATACCACCCATATCGGTGGAAAGTGTGGGTTGATAACCGACGGCGGAGGGGATACGACCGAGCAATGCAGATACTTCGGAACCAGCCTGGGTGAATCGGAAAATGTTGTCGATGAACAAGAGCACATCTTGACCTTCTTCGTCACGCTGAAACAGAGCAAGAGCATGTCAGTGGAGTTTGGCCAACGTGCCCTCAAACATTATTATACGCACGAAGTATTCAGCTAAAGTCAAACCAGTCAAAGCCACACGGGCACGAGCTCCAGGGGGTTCGTTCATTTGTCCAAAGACAAGGGCGGCTTTGCTCTTGTCATTGTTCAGTTGGATTACACTTCAAACATCGAATGCATTGGAGGATTAGTATTCAAGGGATGCTTCTGAATACTCAAGTAAAACATACCCAGTTTCAATCATTTCGTGGTACAGATCGTTACCCTCACGTGTTCGCTCACCAACACCACAGAAGACGGAATAACCACCGTGTGCTTTGGCGACGTTGTTGATCAACTCTTGAATAAACACAGTCTTGCCGACACCGGCACCACCCAAGAGACCAATCTTCCCTCCACGAGCGTATGGAGCAAGGAGATCGACGACCTTGATACCAGTGACCAAGACTTCGGGAATGGTGGATTGATCAATGAACTCTGGGGGTTCAGCGTGAATGGGCATCATGGTTTTGGTCTTGATGGGGCCACGTTCATCGATTGGCTCTCCGATCACGTTCATGATGCGGCCTAAACACTCAGGGCCGACGGGAATTTGGATAGGAGCCCCAGTGTCGACAACCTTTTGGCCACGAACCAAACCTTCGGTACCTAGGATCGCAAACCGGATCGGGTTAACGCTTGTCAACTCGATCACAAAATAAATAGTCAAATGACAACAAACCATCCATGGCAATGGTTCGGACGGTGTTTTCACCCAAGTGTTGGGCTACCTCAAGCACCAGTCGTTGCCCAAAGTCTTGAACTTCGAGGGCATTGAGACTAGAGGGAGTGGTGGAATATTGCTTTAGCGGACCGAATTATCAATATAGGGACTCGTGAGGTTGAAGCACTTACATCGGGGGTAAGTTTTCGCTGTCAAATTGGACATCCACGACGGCTCCGATGACTGTCTTGATCTGACCAACTGAAGAAAATGCAGGTTTTGTAAGCCGAGGAGGAATGTCTGCTTTTATCCACAGACTCTCAGACAGGAAGGCTTACTTTGAGCTTTAGCCTCAGAGGCGTACGATCGTGCTGAAGGGGGAGGGAGCGGGATGCAGGCCAAGACAGAGACGACGACGGAGTGGATCAGAAAACCATAAGGTGAGAGATGACGGAAGATTGGACAGGCTTAACGTACGTTGATCGACTTGGTTTTTGGTGAAGCGGGGTAGGCTGGATTTGGCTACCACGGCCGGGACAGCCGGCTTGGCCGCACTGACGAGAGTACGGGTAGCATTGAGCAAGGCACTGTTCGCCCGGCGAGCCTTGGTGGCACTCCGGGGAATGGCACGCATGAGACCGGATCCTCTGTGCATGGCTATTCGTTGGAAGGGGATGAGATTGGCGAGAGCTTCTTGTAGTTGTGACCTTGGGATTGGGATGGAGCGAGACGGAGGGAGGAAGCTGGCCGGGTTCAGCTGGAGAGGGAAAGTGGTCAACAGGAAGCAGCGTCACACTCTCCAGGGAGGGGGCTTCAGCTGAAACAAAGGGGGGCCAAGTCGATCGGAAGCGATCTAGGTCTTGGCCCTAGGGGGGGAGATCGGAATCCATCGCGGGTGCTGGATGGCTGACTAATCATCTCATCCGACGTCTGCTCGCGAGACTGGGCATACACCAGCGACCCCACACAGAGCAGCACCGACTGTTTCCTCTATCGCGGACATCAACATCAGTGATGAGCTTTTGAAAGAGACCAAAGCCTCACATTGAAAGCAATCTCACAAGAACACAAGAGCTAAGTTCCTCGGTTAGACCGTCTACCGGTGCAACCCTAAATTTCATAGATCCCAGTCCCATCAGGGATGCAAAACCAATCAGACCCCTAAATATTGGGGCCACTGTTTGGGCAATCAAGACCAAGCTGTTTGGATGGGGTCTATAATGCAAAACTGAATATTGGTGGGTTTAACAATTGAGATTTTTACATATTTGATTTCAATGAACCCCAGATGGCCGGCTTAAAATGGGCTACATACATGTCTCACAAAACTACTAGGACTTTTAAAGCACCAACTTTGTAGATTTTGATAAGGGGTGCCAATGTGTTTTATGCACCTACATAATAGTGATGTGGACTACCTCATGAGTTGGAATTATGATGTATGATATGATGTGTATTCCCATGAATGGGGTTTCAAGATGATTATCCTGTGGAAAGCTGTCAACACAGCTGACTGTTTGTGATGTTTAGTATTTTGAGATCAGATGTAATTTATTGCAGCAAACACTCAAGATAATAGCAGCAGTGAACTGAGAGATAGAGCAAAAGAGGTTGACAAGAAATAAAAGAATAGGATGATAGTTTACACCAAATATATATGCTGGAGAAGTGAAAAATAAAATACAAGGCTAAAGAAGAAAATAATAAGAATGTTACCAAATGAATTTAACTTGAAACATGGTTTGTAATCAGGGTCTAGGCCTTGCTGGGCTGCATATTTTCCAGTTTAATAAATTTGAAAAGGAAAACAAAAAACAGCAAGAGTTGGAGAGGAAAATTGTTTTTGGAGTCAAATAGTATCTCCACTTGTTTTGATTTTAGGTTCCTTCTGAAGTGGTATTTGGGATAAATGTTGCAAAAATCTTCTTGTTTCTAAGGTTTCAAGGTCTCAAGCTCAGGGAAGCACAGAAGTAAAATCAAATTGTTACATACAGTGACCCCACCTTGTAAGCATACACCATATAAGCATAACCACTTTGTAAACATAGCATAAGTATGGATTTCCAACAACCATTTTCTGCTCCATGTAATCATAGGATTTGTGTTGACTGTCCTTATGCTTACATTGCAGGTCACTGTATTGACTCATGTGACTATCCTTATTGTGTCTAATGGATTATCCTAGGACTCAGGAAAGCCCCTATAGAACACAGTAACCAAAAAAACAGGTTTTTCGAAAAATTCATACATTTTTTGAGCCCATTCATACACATTTTGTGCGTAGGTTCACCACTTTCCATGAGAATTCATACATTTTTGGTGCCTACCTTCTTCATAGGGGGGAGGGGGGAGGGGTAAAAGAGGAAAAAAAGGGGGAGGAGCTAACCATACACCAGCCCTCACTTCAAGGGGTCTAGTTGCTGGTACAAACAGTCCCTCTGAACTACACATCAGCCCTTCAAAGCATTGAGCCTGGGCTTTCAAGTTAGAAGGGTGGCCTTGGGGAGCATTGTGGCCAAACATTTTTGTGACTTTCATACACCTTTGGTTACTACCTCCCCTTCTTTGGTGAAAAATACATACATTTGAGGTGAGTACCTTTCTGGGCAAAAACAGCAATCCATACATTTGGGGTGACTACCTTTTTTGGTTTTTGACCAAAAATTCATACATTTTGGTTACTGTGTTCTGTAGGGGCTTTCCTGGGTCCTATTATCCTACAACATCCAAGAGGGATATCATTTGTGAAACAGTACAGTCTATATTAATTACCAAGGAAGAGTCCTACTTGGAGTTGGTGACCAAATACAACTTACAAGGTCCACCAGCTGCCAAGGAGAATTAATAGTCTTCAGTGATCACAGGTCATACTGGTTTCCAAGGAGTATATCATCTCTCTGTTTGATGCTGAAGATGGCCAGATTTTGGCATACAACCAGAATAATTCAGTTTCTTAGGTTGAACCCTTGATTTTCGCCAAGAAACCCAGCCATTCTTGATACTAATGGGATCAAAACAATCATATAAGCTTTTGAAGGGATAAATGAAACTTATTTCTCCTCATGTAAAATGAATGAAGGTTCGCATTACCTCTTGGAGTGAAAACTTGATGTACCGTGAAATAAATGAACCGTTAGGGTGTTGCGTTCACTCACAAGGGTTTGGTTTAGGCAGAATCAAGAGGCAAGTTTCTGTTTTGGAATAGCACATCCGGCCCCACTTCGATGTCATCGTTTCTGGAACTTCTAGTGCTTTGTTCCAAAGAATCAAGTCGTCTAACACTACGCACGGTTGAGTAATTCCTCATGAGTAAAAGGGCTACCCGAAGCCGTATCAGTCCGTGGAGCTCACCAAAATAAAAGTAGTATCGTTTTACAGACAAGGCCATCTCAGATGAGAGTGTTTTCAGGTGCTGGAATGAATCCGTGCTGAACTAAGCTGGACATGCCCTTCCCGGATGGCAAAGGTAGGTATACCAACCGGATGGAACGGCCCTTATTGTCATGTGTGTATGCGCGAAACAAGTCTTGGGTCGTTCGCATGATGAAATTGCTCCGCCACTCGCTGTCGCACCTCAGCAATACTCGCCGGACGCTAGAAATGATTGGGGATGGCCGAGCCAGAGGCGAGAAAGGTGCGGGATGGCAGCTGATGGTAGATGCCACACTCATCGTTCTTTTGATGTTGAAAGCTCTACATAACAGGTGATCAATCATGTCAGTTGATGGAAATCAGAAATCGACCAGCAAGCACACCCAGAGTCGTGCGTTGGATTCACTGCGGGTCTGCAAATGGCTTGTCCTAGTGGATCCATGGACCTTAACGTCAAATTCTAATCGTGTGAGGCTCAATAAAACGTTCGATATTCCAAGCTTTCGAAATCTTGCCAGCATCACCTGGTATCTTATAAGCTTGACCAGTCCGTGGAAATATGTACTCCAGTACAGCATGGTTTTAGCTCAAGTCTCACCACGTACATCAAAGTATTCAGCATCAATGTTTTTCGCCATTGGTCTTGTTCACTTGTTGTGCTTATCGCATCCCATAGGTTCTGCCTCAATCAAGTTGCTCGATAGCCCTGATCATTCGATCGACTCCACGCGCGAAGGTCATGTTCGAGCAGTGAAATCTGCGGCGCACATTAGCCGACGATCTGACACTGGCCTGTCCCCAGCTGTTGCAAATAGCGGGTGCTATAATTACCTCAAGGAAAAAGATGGGTGTGCTTATGCCAACCCAACAAACAATTGCGCCAGGAAGATGTCCAGTATGGCGGTGCAACTGGTGAGGGACTCAGTCTTGCATGATACCAAGATCGCGGGCTGATGGATTGTTGACAGTTCGCGATGGGTCCTCCTCCGGGCAACACGAGTTCGCACATCGACCAGTCATCACTCCCAAGCGAAAAAGCATTATTGAAGCGCGTGAGTGGTTAGGTAGCTTTCCACTTCCAGCGATTAGTATTTAGAAGCATTTACAATCTGAACCTTCACAGAATGAAAATCAAACCTGGTCTGCACCTACACCTAAAAATACTACAAGTTTTCTAGCAACAAACTCCATTTTATCATCAAATTCTTCTTCAAACTCCTCGGTTTTTCTTGGAAACACAAGGTCAGAAATCTGATGCCAGCACGAAGCCCAGAATTAGAATAGTGCTCATTGTTTGCACCTGCATTCCCGAACAGTCTTCCGCTCTATAACAACAGTGAAAGTAGCGTAAGAATAGATAAATATCACGTTTTGGTTTGAAGATTTCACTTATTCAGAATAGCTAACGCCTCTGTTGCTCCAGATCTGTGGTAATTACGATGGCGAGGAGCAGATGGGTGTATGTCTCTGGAGTGGCCCTTCTTCTGGTACTCCGGACAGTAATGGCAGCGGTTGGGTCAGTTCGTGAGTGGCATTCCATGAATTACTAGACTTCGATCCAAGCTACTAATTTTGTGCCCTGAGCTAATCTCGCTGCCAAAGTAATATAACAGGAAATTGTCACAAGGAAGTGTAAGTAAGCACAAAATATTGAACCGAAGTCGCGAAGTTCACCATCTGGTGTTTTTGACCCCTTTTCGGAAAAGTATCCTTCAGCGATCCGGCTCCAATTCCCCAATGATAGTAGCAAGGGTGCTTGAAGGGTGCAGCTTTAGTACAGAAGAATTATCAACTGGCTGCTCGCAAATCTACATCACAAAAAAGGTACGTCTGTGAAAGCCTGACTAGAAATGTCATGAGTTGTAGATAACTAAGTGAAGCCGCGACATATACATATACGTGATAGGTGTTTATGGCACTCAATCCTAGTCCTACCGAGCTGGAAAAGGGGGCACTGGAAGACACCATAACGTGGGATTTGTGAGTGAAAAGTATCTCATCTCAGACGAGCATAAAAGAATTCTTTCCCTGATGCTGCCTTTCATACTTGTACAAAAATGTTACCTAGCAATTCACGAGGAAACATTTTTAATTCTGCAGTGTAATAGCAGCGTAATATTTCTTGTTTTGACATTGTTTTGGTAGTGCCGATTGTAAACACCAGAGCTGTTTGTTCTAATGTGTCACATCGCCGCGTTGAATTGATCACTGCTTTAGTTGAATAATCGAGTGACTCCGCCGCTACGGCATATTTTAATCAGGTCTTGTTTCGATAATCGCGCAATACTGCTTGTTTTCCCATTTTTTGGTGAAATCGATGTCATTTTTTTAGATTGTCACGCGGACGTTTTAAATTAATCACAGCAGTCAGGTTGATCAAGTAATCTCGACGCTACGGTAAGGTCTCGTTTTGCACATCAAGGCTTCGCTCGGAGGTAGCACTGTAAGAGTCTGTCAGTGAGCTTGATTTTTCAACCTCACACAATCTCGACGCGTAGCTCTCGCGGCAAGAATTATACGTTTTCGCGCAGGATGTCTATGGACTTTGCGTTTATTGGAATTCATATGAAGTGAAACTCGAGGTTGCGGAAACCGAAAGGAAAACATGCGCGATAGTATACAAGAAACCCATCATAAGAAGGATACTAAATCAAGCTGACCCAACAAAGTCCCGGCGCCACCGAATTGAGTTTGTCTGCCGGAGCTTATGGCAGGAGGGTTGGACTCGGGCGTGTACGTGTAACCTTGCGATAGTTATAACGAGGCAGGGGAAGTGGTGGGTGTGCTGCTACGCTGTTAGTCGCCGAAGGCCGCCCACCGTAAGGCAAAGAATCGCCTGTCAGATCCGAGAACAATTCGGGATTTGAGATGCTCTCTGATAAGCTCTCGTCCAGGTCAAGATCTTCGTAAATCCGGAAATCGACTTGTTCTATGAGCTTCTGTAGCTCCTGTGACGCTTCTGCCGGGCTCATCTTGCAAGATCTCGGCTCAGGTGGTGATCTTATCATCACTTGGTCGTGGTGGTTGAATCTCAGCGGCATGGCATAAGGCGGCATCGCATTCGGGGTCACAGCAGGTTTCGGCGGAAGCAGATTGCCTGTGAGGAGTACCTTTGGTACAAAGGTCAGGTGGTCGGGGCAGCTAGGGAGCCGATCAACTGAAAATTTGAGTCGCAGTTGAGAAACGTTTAGGGCTCAGCAACCATGGGGAGCATTGTAACAACATCACTAACGCTGTGAAGCACCCCATGCAGGGGGAATTTGGTAAGAGGCCTTAATATCGTTGTGATACCTCTTGTGCGAGTGTGGGTCGTGTGTCGGTGACAAAACAGGTAGTCTGTAGTCAAACTGTTCACAGAATTTGGAATGCGGAGTCGTGTCAATCGTATAACCACTGTTGGTTGGACTAGGCAAGTCCATTTTCTGAAGACCCGGAGACAAGGAATCCCTGTGAGTAGGGTGGTTGGTTGTGTGTGGTAAAGAAAGTGTGCTGTTGCGATCTACATTTCGCAATACGAAATAAAGTATCAGCAAATCTATTGAGATTGCATGCAACTCCTTTTTTCTGATGCGAGAAATCACTTACGTTGGCTTCGCCTTTTGAAACATGACCAAATGGAAATTGCCATTAATAACGAAAAACAGAAGGCAGCTGCGCCGATGGCAATTAGGGTCATCGGAGACAATGGGCTGGCGAAAGCCATGTGTGGCTGGTCTCCTGGAAGGATGTTGACGTCCAATGTGCTCATACTGTGAGAGGCTCCCATTTTCTGAGTATGGATTGTGGTGATTACGACTCCGCTGCATACGAAAACACGTCACGTCAGTTAGGATGTGCGTACCATGTGCTTCAAGAATGTAGTCTGTGGCCTACGGAGTGAGGACCAGTTTGGACGATGAAACGGGAAGCATTGGCGGTGAATTCACAGGCTCGCCAAGCTTGGCAATGGCAGTTGCTATCAGTTGTGGTACCGTTGTGGGTTGAGGGGCCGGAGCAATGGTACTAAATATCTGTTGTACTGTGTTCACCGATGAGGCACTGGCTGGAGTGAATGTCTGGGGTGCACTTTGAATTGCAACGGAAGGGCTTTGAATTGCCATGGAAGAAGAGGTAGTTGGAGTGGTGATGATAGTTGCTTCTGGGTGGCCAGTTTCCTGCCCCATGGAGATGGCGCTTTTTGGAATTGGTGTAGCAGCTGGGCTAAGAGATGTTTGTGAGCTTGCCATGTGTGCCGATTGCTGGATTGTTGGAAAAAGACGGAATGCGGACAGGGATGCTCAAGAATGGTAGTAAAGAGTGGTAGTAAGGAGGGATGGTAAAGAGGGAGGATGTCAATTCTCGAGAAAGAGTGAAGATAAGGAGTGATGGGAAGCAGCGATGGAAAGCAGTGATGGAATTGAAAGCGACAGTGGGGATATTCGCCAGTTGTTCAAGATAACAGAGTGAGGGTTTGTCAACGGTTTTATTCGATGATTGTAAGCAAGCAGCAGTAAGCAGGTAACAGAAGTAATGCGGTGAGGATGAAGATGATGGAGAGAGTGGTCTGGTCATGAGTGACTCAGTATTTATAGACAAGCTGTAAGCGGGCAAGCTGGAGTACCTTGCACTCCCAGCATGCTCCGCTGCCAACAGTCCATGCAGCGGATGGATGGCTGGCTGGTCAGTGATGGGCAGGTGCTGCTGCCAGCCCTCCATCCCAGTTAGTGGTCTGGAGAAGGAGGACCTGGTCTCTTTCATAATCTGCACTCAACGGTTATACCCGCCTTGTGGCCTCCCGGGCAGGCTTGACCAACAATGGGCTGGTCTTCAACCAGGAAGTACTTTCAATGAGGCGACACGAGTCACTGGTTGACCCTTGCAATGCTCGTGATTGAGTGATTGGCGATTGCAACTTCTCAAGGGAAGGGGACATGCCCATGAATGTACTCCAAACCCCGGAGGACAGGCATAAAAAAAGTGCAGTATATATTGCAACTTCATGATCAGGTGACTGAACTTCTCCTTTAGTGTCGAATTAAAATTGAAGTCAACATACTATCATCAAAAAGAAAGCAATTCACGATACAAAAGTATACTTGAGCTAAAATTATAAGTATGATAAGAAAAACAAGTGACAATTTGCTAAAATGTCTGAGCATATGCAGCAGTTGAATCAAAGAGCGGCTCACTACTATTGACTCCCACAAATTGGGGAGCAAACAGTTTCAAATTGAGAAAGGGAGGTTTACCCCCGCGCCGGTGGGCAAAACGTACTAGCTCACCGTGGATGAAGATCACGCCCGGTGGGCCCGCCAGCTAGCGCGTCCTTAAGCCCGAATGAAACTGAATGGAAGGTGGTCCATCCAACTCTTGGGGGTTGATAGTTAACCTCCAAGAAAAATAGACCACAGGGCATCACAAATCAGTTTCAGTTGATTTCTGTGGTGAGAATGGCCAAAATCAATCTACTACTCCCAACTTAACATTTCTTAAAGCATATGGTGGTAAAAATGAGCAGCCGCAAGCTTTTCTTTCCCATTGGGTTTCATGCAAAAAATAATGATGCAGTAAACAAGATAAGAATGGATTTTATTTGTAGTGGATGACTTCCCGTTGCGGTTTACAACCCTCCCAGAATTTGATTTACACCCCCTAGATCTTAATTTTTGCTATAAAAAAATACTTTTTCACAAGCCTTGGGAAGATAGCTCTCATGTGAGCTGGTCGGAATTATGATTTAGGACTGGGGAGGGCTTAAAAAGCACTCTGAATGTCAACGGGAAGTCCTCCACTTTTCAGAGACACATGAAAGTTGGATGTGATTCTGTACAGAATCACATCCAACTCACTACAACCTATACTGGATATCCACAGAGGATATCTGGTAAAAAATCAGAGATACATGCAGCAGACACAAGTTCTTGTTCTGTAAGTTGTTTTCTTATTTCTGTGAATTTTCTGTAACCTTCTGTAAGCTTTCTATAAGTTTACTGCAAGTTGCTATGACTTCCACTCCAGAGAAACGTTACAGAAAAGTCAAAGTTACACGGTGTCATAATTTACCAAAAGATTACAGAAATGTCACAGAAAATTTGCAGAAGTTGGGAAAAAATTGACATAACAAAACTGCTTTCTGCTGGATATCCCTGATACTTGACCAGATATCGTGTGCGGGATATCCCGTGATACAGGCTAAATGAAGAAAGAACCGCTGTGGTCATTATTCCTGTGTATGAAGGAAGAAAATTCAAAATTTTATTATTTATCAATGAAGGACTCAAGATATGGACAAATGGACGTCAGAAATGGAATCTACGGTCAATTTAACCCCTAGTCACTCACTGGAACCACCTTCATATCTCTACTGGATCAGAAGTTACACAGATCACGGATGTCACACGGAGAATCACAGGATCAGAGGCACTCAGCTGGAGGGTATAGTGCATGGGGGTATATTGCATATTTCATATTGAATTCCTTTTATTCCTACAGAACCACAAGTTGGCCACCAGTTGTACCAGTTAAATTCCCATTTATTCAGCCACAGAGCACATGAATTCCTTTCTTACAGCTTGCATATAAAAGGGATGCATTGTAGATAGTCTAGCCAAAATCCCTCAGTATTTTCAAGTACAGGGCAGCTAAAATGCCTCACTCAGGGGGTCCCTTGGGGCTAAAATCCCTCATAAATTACTATATAAGGAGGCCTCTGCCTGCCAGTTGTTTCCTCCTCATCCCACTCAGTACACATTTTTGGTGGGACACCTGTCACAGATAACACATATTTATTACACAAGAAGTTCACAAGTAGTACAGCTCACAGATTGAAATATATACACAGTTCATTTCACAAACATTACACACAAGAGCCAGTCCTGTGTTCCAGTCCTGGTTGAAGCATAGTGCTCCCGGCTTTTGTGGGTTCAAGAACCAACTCTATTACATTGCACATATACAGTATCAAGGCATCAAGACGAGAAACAACATCAACAGCTCAATCATCTCTTTGGGCAACAAGAACAACCTTCAACAATTATACATTCATCTCTGAACATAATCCATTATCACCAACTAAACCGCCAAGCTTACCTTGGTGGTCTTGTTTTCTGATAATATAGAAAGGCAGAGTTTGCAGCTCATTCATCCCTTTCTCCATTCAGCAAAAAGGATCTTACAATCACTTTTTGAGTCTTACACCACTGATGAGACAATAGATTAGAGGAGGTTTGGATGGTCTTGCCAACAAACTGACAGAGGGGCCCAGAGTTAGGCACAGTCCAAGATGAAGAAGAATCAATCAGTTTTAATTTATGTGAAATAATCTACGGTTTGAATAGACTAGTTATAAAGAGAACAAACTTTGGTTTTATATAATTGTGTATTCATAAAGTTGACAGATTCAAGAAGAAACACATTACTAAACTAGCTGATAAGTCATACTAACCAGGGTTCATTGGAGGACTTCCCGTTGCCATTTAGAGTGCTTTTTAAGCCCTCCCCAGTCCTAAACTAACACCTCGATCATAATTCCAACCAGCTCACATGAAAGCTATCTTCCCAAGGCTTGTGGCAAAAATAATTTTTTATATCAAAAATTAAGATCTAGGGGGTGTAAATCAAATTCTGGGAGGGTTGTAAACCACAGCAGGAAGTCATCCATTGAATGCAAGGATGTTGATCAGACATGCATGAGTTTTGATGAAAAACAGGCTATACTGATAAGTGTGAAAATCAGTGGTGAAAAATGAGGAATGCAATTTCTGGTGTGATTAAAAGATATCAAAATTTCAACACTAATGAAATTTTTCAATAAATCCTGTATTGGGCTGTAATGAATTGTAAAGTTAATAAAAATAACAAGAAAAGAAAAACCAAATAGGCCCATATGTTACACAAAAGGTCCACAATATAGTATTGTAATGCATTGACCCACCATTGCCCCAGGGTTCAAGACTCAAATTGAGGCTTAAAAAGCCTTGGAACCCCAGGGTTTTGATATTCTATGGTGGTGGCTGGGATTAGTGCTGGACCCTGTGGGGCAAGTCACCCTTGTGCCAGGTATCAAAATGAGACCACCCACAATATACCCTAGGTTAGTGAATATTTTCTCTACCTGTGGTGTGGCTTGGGTGCAGGTTTACCTGGGCCTTATCCATCAGCCCAGGATTCTATTGGCCCAGAGTGCACTCCAGCACATTTATTCCCTGATATGCTGCTGATCAGAGAACTTCACCTCATCTTGCTCCAAGGGTTTGGGAGGAGGATCCTCTTCTTCTCCTCCAGACTGATGAATATCAGTCCAAGGGGCTGGGAAGAGTGTTCTCCTCCCTTCCCCTCTTAGACCGATCAATATTTGTCCAAGACCTCTCAGACCAATATGTGTTGGTCTGTGGGCCTCTTCCTCCCATTCACCCTTGGGCCAACACAAATCAACCTGAGGATTAAAACAGTTAATTGACCTTGATGAGGGTGTTGAGTAAGAATAAAATGAAATTTCTGTGGTTCAGACCCTGAAACCTGGGATTCAGTCCTTGATATGGGACTCCAGCCCCGTCCCCAATCCTGGGGCCATGCCTTAGGAGCTGGAGGGAGAAGCAAAAGATGGGATACCTAATGACAGAATCCTTGGAAAAAGCAAGATCAAAACAAGTATGGTAATGCATAACAAGAACAAAAAATATTGAGAGGTTGTAACCCTTTTGGAAAAGGCAGTAATATGTAAGTCCTTTGATAAGCTTGACAGAGGCTGAGAGCAGCAGACAAGAGGTGAGAAAACAAGGAAAGCATATGTGAAATCTGACAGAGATGTATAAAGCAGAGGATAAGAGATAAAGAAGACACAAATCAATATGCATAACTCAACATCCTCCACTCAGTGCATAGAAAAACTGACTGCAGGGCCTTGTGATAAGCTAGGACTAGCGCTAGCTACATATTTGGTTCAAAGCTCAAAAGCTTGATCAATCTTGGATGTAGCTACACTTTGTCCAGAAATACCTCTTGGGATGTAGTGTGCAGTTTTATACTTCATGTAAATCTGAGGAAACATCCATTGTCCACCAAATTCAATTTACAAAAAATGAGAGTTTGAAAATTTGAGGATTGAAACATGTAACATACACTAGTGATGCCTTCAAAAAAGAGAAAAAGGTTATTCTTGGATATTACTTGGAGGAATATGTGTGGACAAAGACTCTTCCATTTGGTCCTTGAGTCCCTTTTAAATTCACCGAACTGGGCTGGTGGAGAGGGGGGGGGGTGGCAGAGCTGCAGCATCAGGATATGATAATGATTTTGCACAGATGGTAACGTAAAAGCGAAGATAAATCAATTTCTAACCTTTTTATCACATTGTTGGATCATTTTGGTGATGATTGGGGCAGTATCTTTCTTATTCCTGCTCACCCAAAAAAAGGATTTAGTAAATGGTACCAAAGCAGTCTACACAATAAGAGTTTATTATTATTTTGAATGGCTTACAATTGAAAGATGGATCCATCGGTAGAGGTGAGAGCCAACTACGATTGGAATCAATCTGCCCAGTATTCTACAAAAATAGTTTACTCACACAGAACAGTTTGAATTGATGTGACTTTGTGGACTGACGGTGCATGATCCAAAGGTGACTCCCATTTGCGTGAGCAGGCCTTTAGACTTATGAGTCAAGTGCCCTTGGGAATCGATAGGGATCTGATTGTAGGCTCTTGATTAAGTTGATCAGCCGAGATGAAGAATGGCAATGGGTGCAGGAGAAGCATAACAATCAATATGGAAAAGCAAACAAGGCAGTTAATTGCAAGAAAGAAATTGACACACTTAATACAATCATATTTAGATTTCACTTCTGGCTCTCCATTAGGCTGATAGCAGTACGGCTTGTTCAGCTCGGCGTCTGCATTCCATGCCTCCCATTGTGTGCCTGCTGGGGCACGCATTTTGACCAATACACTGACCTTCGGGTTACTCGGAACCTTCACCGAGCCACACTGTCAGAGACAACAGACAACATTTTTTTTAGTTGTTGTATTCATAAGAGTGACTTATTGTCAGCGTCAGAGTTCAACCAGGTCCCCTCCCCCAAGGGAGAGACCCCTACGTACCTTGCCAGGACATTGCTTGAAAAGCTCAGCAACACCACTTTTGATGAGGTCTTTTGTACTAAATATGCCAACAAGGCCAAGATTTTGTAATCGATGTGGAGAAATTAGAATCAGACAATCATGAGGTTGTTTAATCTATCAATCTTTAGGTGCTCATAGCCACTCACACAACCTGTTGATGTAAGTTACGGACGATTAGCTGGTGGGGTGGGAGAAGTGGAGATTGATCAGCAAGAGGATGAGAGGATGTCCGTTCAGTATTTTATGAAATTATCCAGATTGATAGAACCAAAAAAACATCTGAGATGTGGCACTTACACTACAAGTATCCAATATTGCTACCACTTCGTTTTCAATCATCGGGAGTTTTCCTTCCTGAAATGTAATCTTATTGATTGCTCTAAAAAAAGAGTTTTAGGCCGAAGGATAGTTGATTGAGATGATAAGTTGTCAGGAGGATACGTAAACGAACCCACCCGTTGCAATGATTTTGGTTTGCCGGCCGTCGATAACATCGCGCATTCACAGTGGAGGTTAGTAGCAAACTGATTATGGCAATCAATACAAATCGATAAGAAAGCATCATTATTTTTTGCCTTATCAAGTGCTACAACACAATTTCTAGAGGGTTGGGGATATGGATTTGTGAAATACTGGATATTATTGAAGGCCCTTTTGGAGGTGACAGGTGTGGATTTCTAGAGGGTTGGGGATATGGATTGATGAAAGAATGGATATTATTGAAGGTGCTTTTGGAGGTGACAGGTTTGATAATTGAGTGCAAGTTCAACACTCACAAAGGGTCTAGAGACTAACTTGTACCAAGTCCCAAGCTTCTGCGGGCCTGGTGACCTGCACTGGCTGGTGCCACTTGCGAAGCAAGCCTCCGAAGGAGGGACTTGTGACAAATACGCACAAGCTCGCGTGTTGCTATCAACCTGTTTTGGTGTAGGGAATTTTGGATTGCCCACCATGCATGTACTTTGGGGTTGTTTGAGGGCAGAGTCAGCATGGTCAAAGTTGACCATGTTGCGGTTCTCCTCATCCAATTTTTAGAGATTTTGTATGAAAACCTGACGAGTAAGATATTTTTGAAAAATATGAAATATTGAAATAAATCAGAATTAAAGTTGAGCTCTGAGCCTTGAGAAGCTATTACATAAGCAAAAAACACAAATTTGAGCGGATTCTTGGACCTTTACAAAGTTTCCCTAGAATGTAGTTGTACATGTTTCTGGGTAATTCCTTGATGAAAATTTACTTTGGCATCTGGGATACATTGTGCCAAATTTCTCCTCTATTAAAGTTAAGAAAGCAATTTATAAGAATTTTTCACACAAAAAACACTCTCAAAACTGGAAAGCGACACGCAGGCGTGTTCGTTTTTGGGCACAAGCCTCTCCCGCACTTCGTGCGTTCGACGGAGAGGCTGGGCAAGCTAGGTCTAGAGACGAGTTTGTTTTTACAGACGAGGTGAGGGTGAGCCGCGAACCTTGGCCACTGGGGTTGGTACTGAGTTCTCATCTGTGCTAATTGGGCCGTTTTCTCAAAACAGGAATAATTAGGTCTAAGACTCCAGGAATGTGCCTCATCTTTCCAAGTTTATCGCTTCACTTCCTTGCCATCATTCAGAGATAAGAATTACAGTGGCCCTACAATAAGGCGGGCGGCTACGACAACCTCTACCAGCCTGTAGCAGATCCAGGGCCATCCCCACGGCCACAGGATCCAAGCCGATCAAGACAACCGTCGGTATGTATCAATTCCGAGCCACACGCAACCATCCGGCTTCTTTCATCTTTTTGTTGAAAGCCTATGATGTGTAAAGCAAGGCATGATACACGTTTGATTTGTTCTTCATTCATGGGATTGCTCCTGTTGCGCACTGCCCACTCACCCTCGCACGACCGTTGTGAGGGATCGGTTGCAAAAGATGATCATGACATTTACAATAAATGTGGATCTGAAGTTGATTCTAACTGCTTCACTGAAAACGGATGTGTGACCATGGAGGGACAGGCCGCACTAAAGCTGTTCATCACGTGTCCCATTGAAATGTGATTTCTCTTAATGGGTTAGGTTACCCTCAATAATTGTAGGCTCCTCCTAGATTTACAATTGAGATGTATCAATGAAATGTGAATGGTAAACCGGAGAAAAACATTGTGTCTTTGCACAAACGGTTCTTTGGTAAAACTGATATAGGTTATAGGTCCACTCACTAAAAATATGAAAAAGTTATACTAATTTTTATTTTGTTTAGGAGCTTTTGTTGCCAGTTGTACGTATGAATACTACCCCATTTGGCCCACTTGCTATTTTCATATTAACAAAACTTGCAGTGTGATCTCAAGTTAGTGATGACGTTCAACATACACAAATAAGAGGAGATGGAAGACACGACTTTTGCTCACCTGTTTATCCCAATACTCAAAAGCTGGATTAACAATTGGAGCAGCGTCTTTCTTCATCCTGTGGCATTTTTAAAACCAGTATTAAGCAATTCAATGCCTTGATATTTGAACGTGATTGAACTTTTTGAAACATGAGCTACTCAGCAAAATTCTGGATCCATCAGTTGTTTTCACATTAATCTGTTGAAAACAATTGGTCCTATTATCATATATCTGATGGTGTATATGACGTAGCACACCGGAAGATGTTAATTGGCTTACGTTGTATTTTCTAAAAGTCGCTTGGACCAATCTTGCTGGTGATGTCCCCTTGAGAATCCGTGGGAAGCAGATCAAAGGCCCTATGTAGTCATTTGAAGCAGGTATAATCAACGCGAGCCAAGCAAAAGTGAGGGAAAAAAATTACTCCGAGCCAGAAATAGCATACTTTTCACAGTCATCTGATACTATTTCAAACGCTCCAATGGGCTCATAGCACTTGTCAGTTCCTAAATTGTGAGTGGTTCAGGACTCAATACAAATAAATAATTTGCTGACCTTTCCTGGACATTGCTTCTGGAGATTTACAAGAGCATTTTTGACTTAATGGGGCAGATTTGAAAAATGGCTTGCACATTAGGATATTGCAACTTTAGATACATATTATACTAGAAATCATCTGACTTGCTAGGAAACCATTCTTTAAACAATCCTAAAAACGTGTTCACTCCATCAAGACCTTTTTACCAGCAGCTTTTTCACTCAAAGTTGTAACCGAATGAGAAAAAACTAAACCAAAAAACATTTTGAAATGATATCCCATTGTTATAGGTTGGCGCTTGGAATCAATCAGACTGGTTTCGAAATAATCTTCACGAGCGCAAAGCCAATGGTCAACGCATTCCCAAATGAAGGAGGGGTACTTCGTTCTGGCTGCATTGGGTATCTGAGGGGCACGTAATTCGAAAATCTTGAAGGCTGACTCGAAAAGCTGATGTTTATCAACTGTAACGTCGACATTTCCAGGTTTGGGGAAGATGGTGGTTATCATGTCTACAAAAAAGAAGAAACACAGCAAAGATTCGATCCATTTTTGATTGACGAAAGGGTGATAGTAAATCCGATCAGAGAGGCCTGCACGGAGCTTTTCTATTCTATTCCACAACTGTTCATCATCCATTTTCAATATGTCCTGATATACTTTTCTCCAGGCGTTTGAATTTTGGTAAAATTTCGTTAATCCTATTGCTACCAGTACAGATGGACGCGGTTTTCCTATGATCTTTGCCCATTCCTTCGAAAACTGTGTGATGAAATCTCTGTCTTTTCCAGTTTCAATCAGCAGCACTTTCTCTTGACTGTTCGTTGGGCTGATCATGAGATGCTTGACAGCTTCTGCAAAGGCTGAATATCGCTGGCGTCCATTTCCCCGAAATGTTCCCTTGTTGAAGACTAAGTTGAAGGCTTTGGATGTTTTGGACGTTTCATCATTGCGTACGGGTTTAGCTTTTTGGTGGATTTGTAGTAGCCGATCATCACTATAGTCTTTTGAAAACTCACTTGGTGCATTGAACCAATCCGATGTAATGTCTTGTCGATACATGGCGTGCTTTCCTTTAAAATATCCCTCAAATTTTGCCTGTCTCTTGTTACCGGGAAGTAACCCTGATGTTGAGTGGACGACCAGGTCTCTCGCCCGCTTTGAACGCAACTCGTTTATGAAACGCTTTTCATAGACTTCAATTGGTATATCGGGAATTGATAACCCGTGCCAGCTGAACATGGGCGTGAAAGGAATCGCGGGCTCTTGAGCTTCGTAAGGGTCTTTTGGAAGGGTATCTTGGTCGTTTACTTGGCCTCTTGTCGTAAGATCTCCTCCTGTTGAGGTTTTGGAGAGCTCTTGGGATGCGTAGGTATAATGTAAATTTCCAGGAAAACTGCTGATACTGATAGGACTTCTCATCATATGAGTGCTTGGCGGTGCTAAGCCCACAGGAAATTGCTGGATTGAAATGTCATTGTTGTATTCAGGATCGGCCAATGGACCATTTGCGTGGGTTGTAGGGCGCTCTCGAGTCTCGTAGGTATTTTCCAAGTGAGGATTGCTTACGCGACTATCAGTCATCGTGACTGGGACCCCTCCTGCCGTATTTACCGGCTCTACACGGGAAATCGCAAGTGGTAAACTCGAAAGATAGTCAGGATTACCAGAAAAGGAGCCCAACGCATCCCAGCTTTGTCGTTGATTCTCCACGCCAGGATTCGGCAATAACACATCGCCGGCGCCGATGGTCCAGTCAAATGGAAATCGATCCAAGGTTCCTTTGCAGCGAGTGAAGACCAACGCCAAAAAAATGCATCGGGATGGATTCTTCATGATGGTTTATTGGCTTACAATTAAGGCGAAACATACATCTTTGTGCTCACACAAATTTATCTTGATGGCGGGCCCGCCGATTATCCTACCCACAGGTACCCACCGAGATATGTCTTCCCGGACTTGTTTCAAAGGGGGTATCTTTCTGAGCCTTTCCACTCGAGCCCAATAGTGGCTGCAAGTTGACCCCTTCTTTACATTCCCACCGGTAGCCGGAGTATTTGTCCAGCCTCCTGGTGAGGATTGTGTAGGTATCCAGTGTTTAACACGAAGTTGAGCTCTCATCTCATAGAGCACCCTAAAACGACAGTTTCAAGGGGTTTCAATAATGTTGCTGATAAATAGTGGGCAATCCATGGGATTTCCACGATAATTTTGCTGCTTGCAAAGCTTTGAGAACCAGTAGATCTGCTTACTTCACACAGCTCTGTGCAAGTGATGGATGAAGATATATGTGGGGAAGCCAAGCTGAAAGACTTTCAATGACAAGCTTTTGATGGGAGAATTGTGAAGGGACTCCACATTTGGGGCGGGGTGTTCTGTGAATGGAGAGGGAGGGGGGAACACTATTTGCAGTGGGTGAACTATGATTTCTGGCACTTAATTTGTTTTTTGTGAAAAAATAACAGGGGCAGAACATTTGCTTTCATGTTTTATGTATTTATTTTTTGTTTTCTGGAGAAGTAGAGTCAAGACTTACAATCAGACAAGTACTGGAGAACTTCCCGTCACCATTTGCAGGTCTCCCAGAAGCAAGTTAAAGCCTTGAAATCTAGATATCCCAGCAAAAATCTCGGCTTTTTGGGTCTAAATCAACATCTGTGAGGGTCCCAGATCTGATGGGAACTCCTCCAGTAGTCATTACTACCAATCACCATACTTTGAGCCATTTTTGCTTCTGAGAAAAAAAACTTAGGGCCTGTACCTTATGGCATGAAAATTCAATTTTTCATAATTTATCATAATTTATCTTCCTCAATTTCTCATGTAATCAAAAGTGACCATCACCAAATGCGGCTAGTTATAAGCCCACAAATGAAGAATTTCAACACCAGATCTGCCCCCTTGTTTTCAATTTTTGGGTAGAAGACAGAAAAGATGACCATTATTCAAAATTCAATCCTACAGTACAGGCTGGGCCCTCAAACTGCAGGCTAACAACTAACTTTAACATACTTTGAATTCCAGTGCCCTTACTTGTCCACTGTTGAATTTGTCCTACCTGATTGACAATTTTAAAAATTTAACACTTTTTTGGCCCCAATTAGGTTCATGAGAAGCTTGTATATAAATCAAGTGGAGCAGCTATAATCAATCTCAACCCTCATTTTTCTTTTCTTTTTCAATTTTGTGATTATTTTGTTGAGCCTTTTCTCTCATTCAGGCTTGGCTTTTCTTATATTTTCCTGAATATTCTTTTGGTTCATATCAAGGTCAATGATAATAGCAGATGAAGGTAATTTATATTTTCTTCTTGACAATTACTACTATCAACCATTGGTATACGCTTCAGTAAACTATTTTTTGTATTTGAAATCTACATCAATTTCCACATTGTTCCAAAATTTGCATTGAAGCTGTATTGAAAAAACTTTGAGTCAGAGTAAGGTTTGAGTAATGGGACAACCTTCCTCACAATTGTTGGACATCAACTGGTGGCATTTTTGTAGGTTTTTCTTGTAGTGAAGTGTTCTTTTGCTAGTTGTGAGGTTAAAAAAATTGTGTTGTCAGCAAGCCCCTCATGAATGAACTTGAAATTGATTAAAATTCCTTTCATTTTCGAAGATTCAACCAGCAGCCCATGATGTCTTGGATGCTTTGGTGGCAATAAATTGGACTGTGGATTATTGAGTTGATTCCATGTGTCCCTGGTTTATCTACACTACCAATGCAAGAAACGTTGGTGGAAATTGTTTGCACAATTTTTGGCCATAAAATGTGGAAAGTTATTTCCTTATGATTTTGTTCATTGCTTTTTGACCCACCCTCGATCACTGTTTAACAAAACTGTCCAAAGAGGTGCATGTGCCGACAGCTTCACCTCAGCGTTCTATATAATTATTTGACTTGGATAAAGCTGAAAATTTCTTCTGCAAACGGAGTGAACAACTTTCTATTCACCCGCGGTATAAATAATCAGGATTCAGCCAAGGCCCAACAGTCTTGCTAGCTTTTGTGAGTTTCGAGTTTTGCTTCCCCATCGATCGATTGGATTGATCGGCAGTGGAGATAATTCCCAGTGGGACAAAACCATGAAAATATGGACTTTTCTCTAGCCAATTGGATCTTCTATATCCATACTATGGTATAAGCTCTGATGGTGTCGTCATCGAGTCAGCTGACGACTTCTTTTCACGTGACCCTCCCGGCCGCATCCCCTCCAGTTTACTCTCCATCACCTCCCCACCCCCATCCCCATCTAGCTCTTACTCTTCCGGTTGATCAGCCTCCATTATCTGTTTCCGTTGACCAATCCAAACGATATCACTATATCCAAAGATGGTGCGTTCATCCATGCTTAAAGGCTCAACAGGATACAATGGCAATTAACAACAGGATTTCTTTTCTGATTTCTTTTTGCATGGTGTAGCCCAGCTTGAAAGTCGCAGTCTTGGGTGCAGCCGGTGGTTGGTATCTTGACTGCTTCTTGACCTGCACATAACTTTTCCAAGCTTAATATTCACTTCACCACTCTATCAACAGGCATCGGACAACCATTGTCTTTGCTACTTAAGGTATGTAAATAAGCAATTTCCACATTTCATTGTCATTGATCGAGAGTCTGCCTTCTTGATTGATGTTTTTTTGTTCTTTCAGCAAAACCCTCATATTACCGAATTAGCCCTATTCGATGTGGTGCCCGTCGTCAAAGGAGTGGCTGTTGATGTGAGTTATAGAGAAGGAAACAGAAATAAAGCATTCACTGAGATGCCCCGAAAACTGACCTAATTCATGAATACCGCTGTACCTAGATCTCCCATATCAACACCCCCAGCACTGTGACTGGACACATACCTGCAGAAGAAGGGCTAGCAAAAGCTCTCAAAGGTTCTGACTTAGTCGTGATTCCAGCTGGTGTGCCTAGAAAGCCTGGCATGACGCGAGATGATCTGTTCAAGGTAGGAAACTTCTTACACATCCAAAAAGCTATTTATATATTTAGCTTTCCTTCTGAGATACGTGATTTTCGTCCTCTAGATCAACGCTGGAATCGTGCGCGACCTTGCTACCTCTATGGCTCAGAACTGTCCTAAGGCTTGCATCTTAGTGATCTCGAACCCTGTCAACTCTACTGTACCGATTGTCGCTGAGGTATTCAAGAAGGCCGGTGTCTTTGACCCCAAAAAGTAAAAATTTCAATTCAGAAGCATCAGAATTTTTCACCAGATGGCTATCTAGGGTTTTTGTTGACCTCAATTTTTATTGATTTATCTAGATTATTCGGTGTCACAACTCTGGATGTTGTTCGAGCCTCTACCTTTGTCGCCCATGTTGTAGGCCAACCTGAGAAGGCCCATGAGTACAAGATCCCGGTGATCGGTGGTCACTCTGGTGTCACCATCTTACCCCTCCTCTCTCAATCAAAGCCACCTTTGCCGCAATCGGTTTTGTCAGACAAGAGCAAGGTTGAAGAGCTCATCAAGCGAATCCAATTTGGTGGTGATGAAGTCGTCGCAGCTAAGGATGGTGCCGGTAGTGCCACCTTGAGCATGGCCTATGCCGGATTCAGGTTTGCCGAGAGCTTGATCAAAGCTAGGCTCGGTCACACCGGTGTGGTCGAGATGGGTTACATCTATGTGGCAGATGATAAGCATATCTCAGCTCACACTGACGGCCTCGAGTACTTCTCGGTTCCTATCGAATTAGGGGTTAGTGAAAAATAAGCAACTAAAACGGTATCATGGGCTTATTATTAGCAGCGATTGACGATCAATATGTTATACTCTGATTCAGGCCGAAGGCGTTGGTAAACTACTTCCGATCGGAGATATTAATGATCACGAAAAGGAAATGCTGAAAGCTTGTGTTTCTGAACTTAAAGAAAGCATAACCAAGGTAAGTAGTACACTTCCCTGATAATTCAGTTTACACAAAGACTGATTTTGTGTTTTGTTTATCTTCATGGTTTTTGTTGATCAGGGTTCGAGCTTTGTAAACAAATTGTAAAAAAAATAGATTGTTATTTATCCAGCGGTGGAAAGAATGTACGAAGGCTGCGAGAGTGGCTTCATTGTGCTGTGCTGTGCTGTGTGATCTCATCATGTTTGTTTGGTGCTAAGAGAAGATGACACTCAAAAATAAAACTAAAAAAAAGGTTTTAGGCAGATCATGAGAAAATTAAGAGAAGAAATAAAAAATGCTCATGTTTAGTCAAGAGTGCCCTCCCTGACAGCTTTCAATAACAAAGGGCTGCTCAGATGTAACTGAAGCTCTGTTCCTGTGTTATTTATCAGGTTGGCCAATCAAGAAAACATTAACCTTGAAATTGTTTGACAGGAAAATAATGGGGTATTTAAAACAAAATTGGTCCCTGGGGAGTGCAGCTGGAGAAAGCACTTGTAAGGAGAGCTTGATGGCAGGATTTCATTCCAGAAAGAAAAATAAAAAGAGAAAAGCAAAAAGAAACACCAACTAGAAAAGTCATACAGCATGCCAAAAAAAATGAATCTTGGGGAACCAGAGCAGTGCTTCCTGGATGAGTGTAGAGGAGAGCTGGCCAGAAGTGATTTTGAGCAATACCACCACCTATTTTCTTGATACCCTGTACTTTTCTGCCAAAGGAAGACTGAAAAAAAGGCAGAGCTAAGTGCACTGGGCAAAGCACAAAGTCTACTTTGCCTACTTGACAACACACCTGGCAGGCACACTTGACTCTTGACCTCTTGGCTCCCAAACAGACATATCACTCCACCAAAACCCAATGAGTCCTATGATTCATACTCATATTAGCTTAGCATTCAACCGGCAAGTCCCTTCACTCATCAGCATACCAATCAGTCATGAAGAAGCTCAGCAGGTGGTGTGTTTTCTTGCTGGCTTCTTCAGAAGAAAGATCCTTTTGATTGGCAATTGTCATAGGGCCTCTGGGATGTACCCAGGAGGGTTGATTGGACAGTCTTGGAAGCGCTCATTTTTGCAAATCAATGCTCAAGTCTGGGCTGACATCATGCTCTAGGCCAGTCACAATCCCAATGACATGTGCATACCATTACTATAGCCCAACAAATTCCAATCAACACACACATTCAATCGATTATTTCCTTTCCTTGTTGACTATGAAGGATTTGAATTGGAGTTTTCTAGTAGATGTAACTGCTGAGAGCCTGAGATTGGCCAAGTATCAGACTAACAAATCCTTCAGCCAAGTGGGTTCATCAATCCATGACAAGGGACCACCACCCTTTCTCACCAATCAATTTTCTGAATTGCATCAGAATCAACTTGACTGACACCCTCATCGAGGTTGAACTCGCTATGCGACGGCTCTCTTCGTCAGTTCAAATTCCGCAGCAGCAGACACTTTTGTCCGCGCGCGAGGCGCTTCGAACTTCCCGCCTCGCGCAGCAAGCCAGCTTGCATGGTTCAAAGCAATATGTCACATGGGCTTGAGAACAAGCATCCAAGTCCTCCGAATATTGTAAGACATTACAAGTTGCAATGGATTGACAGAAGCAAAAACGAAAAGGAAGTGTAGACATGTCCAAAGAATTATAGTCAAAATATCCGGTCAGATTACATGTCTATGTATGATCGTTAACCAGTCCATTTTCAAGCCAGATAGCCTTCAATACTTTCGCCGATTTCCAGTTCTATCCGTTTGACGACCTTCTTAGCAGCCTGGTCGATTCCGCCGTGAGATTCTTCCAAGGCTTCGATCAAGCAACCGCCGATAGTTTCGGGCACGAAGGGCACCAGAGCAGCCCCGATTTCCTTCCAGATTTCCTCCAACACTCCCAAGCTGATCAATTTGACGTTGATCGTGTTGTCTTCTTCTTCGTCGTCTCGAGCTTTGATCTCCTGTAAGATCCCGGAGTTCAAAACCTTCAATAGCGTATCGTGACTTGATACTTTTTGAGCTAATTTGCCAATCAGTGATTTCACTCGGCTGGAGTATTCTTGATGAACCATAAACTTGGATCCTAGCTTGATCTGGTTAATGACAGGCATAGTGATCTTGGTCAAAGCGGTAGCGCTCCAAAAGCCTACGGAAAACAAAGGCGCATTTCGATGTTAGCTCATAACCTAGAACGTTTCAAAGAATAGCGAAAATAAATACCTTCGGTGTCATGTATAAGTGTCTGCTCCAACGTTGATGTGACCTCCGTCCAAAGCTGAAAGTCAGATTGTTTACCTTCGGCAAATCCATTCAATATTGTGACTGTGTGACTGATGAGATGAGTGAAGTAGGATACGGCCAAAGTCTAAAGAGTGTTGCCAGGCGTTAGACAACAAAATACCGAAGACTTAGAAACCAGAAATTCTTACCTGCAGGTGACGAAGAAGTGCACCAAAGACTTTATACAGCGCAATGCTTCTGGCAACGTCAGGTTGATTTTTTTCCTTGGTTAGAGTGATGGTTGCCCAATCTATCAATCGGAATAACAAAGGTTTAAGAGTCTCGTCGTTGATCTTCAGGACCAAGGATAGGAAAGTCGAAGAAGCCAATGATTCAATCTTCATCATATCATTTTCCGGAATGTTTCCACCATTTTGTCGGCGAAGATCAAAGATCTGCAACAAGAAGTCGAATATTGCCTTGCTTTCCTTAATAACTTCCGGCACTTTGGCGTATTTGATGGCTCGAAGGAGAATCTCCACTAGCGCCAGGGCAACCTAGAACAAGTTGCAATGTCAAAATGCTGACAGTAGTACGTGTAAGAGGAAAAAAAAGACTCACATTGCTTGAGCCCTCCAAATTTGACCAGTAGGCGCTTACAACGGAGCCCAAGTTATGGAGAGGAACTGTCTTTGTCAAGCAACGGATCAGTGAAGCTTGGTTGACATCTACAGTTTCTTGTAGACCAGGTTTGCTCATGATAGGTGTCGTGATCAGTCGGAGGATAATCGGCATGTGGGGTGTCAAAAATGCTGGCAATGTCTTGACAGTAGCTTCCACCAAGCGGAACGCAAGTGCGCGAAGTTCCGCAGCCGCTGTGTCACTTTCGAAGCCTTGCGGTTTCTGTACCAATTCAACGCACATGCTGATAGTTTTGCCAATGCTGGGTATCAGTCGAGAACCGAGCAATCGACTGGAAAAAGATGAAATGTAAAATTAGCATCAAGTGGCCCTCAACAAAAAGGTCAGAGATGGAAAAGATGGCGAACCAAAGTTTGACCAGGGCAGAAAGAGCCGCTGACGTGACTTTTGAGTCATTGCTGCTCGGTGGTATTGACAGCAAGGAGCCATACGCCTTACTGAGCAGGGACTGCTCGGAGGCTGTCGCGTCGACAGCAATGTCCCCCAGAGTTTCGATCGCATCCAGTAGAGGTACTTTTGCATCTCCAGAGGAAATAGCAAAACTGCCTTGAATACGGTTCGTACAAATCTTGATAGCTTCCATTACGCACATCTCGATCTCTGGCCGCTGGGAAGCTTTGACGGATGACAAACGGGCCCGTAGGATATCTAGAGTACAGAACACCAGCTGGAAAAGATTTCAAAGTTAGATACACGAGCCAGATATAGATACCGGTTACTATCAGTGTGGATTATTAATACCTTGCTGTCATGGTTCTGTAGTTTGGGGAGCATAGCGGTGGCGAAGAACTCCAAAGACACCAGCTTGGCAGCTCTCAGCGCAATGTCGCGAGCGTCTTGCAGTTGGTCACTTTCAGTCTGCTCTGGTTTAGGTTGACAAAGCTCCAAGATTTGCATCATCAGGAAGGCCAATACCTGATCGCTATCCGAATTATTTGTCGATCGAGCCGAATCTAACTTGGATTTGAGAGATTTAGAGCCTAATGCCTCACTCATGAATTTCATGAGTGCCTGAATACGAGTAGTGTTCAGCTCTTGGCTTTCGTCTTCAATGATCTGATCGCCGTCACCGTCTACTTCAGTTTGTTGGCTGAAACAAGGTGTTGACTCGTCAGTGTATAGTTTAGCTCTACTGCCGAAAGAGAGGCTTACGTTTTGGCTGGTAATACACCAGGCTCTCCCGAGGCGCTGAGTCCAAGCAAAGTTTCAACTTCGGCCACGATGTGTGCAATTGCCTAAAATGGGACAAATGCAACCCATGAGTCATATAGCCCGATGTGAAGAAAAGAGCGTACTAACTGCAACTCCCAGAGGCCCTGGGAAAGAAGACCAGATAGCCAGTGGTAGCTCGAAGCTTGACGTAGCATTGTCCTCGTCGATGTTAGCATCAATCATTAGGATCAATAGAGCCCCCAAGAATTGATATTCGCCTAGGACTTCGATTAATCGCACAAAAAGCCTTGTCCGTCTGTGCTTGGGGATATGGTTCCTTGCCCCAACAAACATGAGGAGCAATTCACGGAGGCCTATTGAAACACGTCACTCAAGTTCAGGAACTTGCCTGTTCCTATGATTGAGAATCGACAGGTAGTTGACTTACTCAAAATCAACTCGATCCGCGAGCTTCCTGAGGCACTGGAGGCTTTTACCATGGGGGGACTTAAAGCTTGAATGGCCTGGTTTCATCAAGAAGAATTTATCAGTGTAACAGAAAAAAAACTAATATTGAATACCTGTTGGTACGCACTTTGTCAACGACTCGAGCACTGAATGCATCGTCGCGCTGAATGACATGAGCTCCCACAAATGTAAATATTGGCATCATACTTTGGCAAGTGAGCTCAGGGCATAGACGGGCCAAATCGGCCAACAACAGGATGATTTTGTGGGAGATGTGTGGATCCAACGAAACTTCCAATTCGGTCATTAGCTTTTTTTTCTTTCCGTGAAAAGTAGTTTATATGCCACATAAGAAAGGTAAGATAGTCACATACTTCTCATGTAGTCCACAATGGAAGATAGTGGCAAGCCATCGGATTTGAATTCGGCCTCCTAAATTTCAAATTCAGATTAGTTAACATGTGGAACGAGATGAAACCAGAAATTGAAGGACGTGCATCTAAGTCGGGGGCGACAATCGCCAAGTAAGAAATAAGCAGCTGTGCAGAGAAGTGAATGTCTACTTCATGGGTAGTATGCGTAGCCAATAGGATCGCTAAGGTATCCAAGAATGCCGCAAACAATTGAAAAGTGTGCTTGAGCTTTTCCACTGAGATAGTTTCCAGTAATGTGACCAATTCTGAGAGGTCAGGCGCGCCACCGGTAGCTTGACCAACGGACCTGAATTTTTGACAAAATGATTAGAAACATTCTTGGACAAACAAGCATCAGAACCAGACATACCCTTTACCAGTTTTTGTCCTCTTATTTGATCGGACATTGTTTGAAGAAATCTCTCGGGAGATTACCGATAAGGTTGCGATAACAGACTCACTGTCCAACGGTAAACAGCGAAGAGTATTTACGTAAAAGCTGACATCGTCCTGAGTTGAATAGTTGATATAAAAATTGTGAGCGGCCCAAACCTTCTTTGGGAACAAGGCCTGCGAACTTACTCGGGAAGAGGAAGCCAGTACCAAAATCCTGCGCAAAATGCTTTGCTTCTGGGAAGATGATAAGGTGGCAATCAAGCCGCTTTGTAGCTTGTTCTTAGCAGCCTCGCGAATGGCGAGTTGAGCATCTGAGATTTGATTTTTTCACCAGTCAGTAGACATTCAAACTTATTTTTTGCTTGATGATGATTAATTATAAATGGAGCAGACAAATGCTTACCGTTTGCGGGAGAGCAGCATAGGGCACTAACAAGCGTATCCAAAGCAGTAGAATCTTTCCCTGTTGCAAAGACTTTGCCTGGATAGTCATAAGTTTGGAACAAAAGTGCCGCATACTCCGCCAAAGCTTCCTTGGGAAGGTTGTTATCCGTGATGGAATTTGCTGCCCCAGAGGACATCTCATCAATCAGAGGAGCAACCGATTTGATTCGAACTGGGTCGTTCACGTAACTGATACATTTTAGTAGTTTGACACGTCCCTCGAAATCGTTCCAACAATCGATCACCTTCATGAAGAAGCACAGGATTCTGTGCCTCAAGCCTTCGGCTTGTCGCTTACGATTGGACGCCCCGGTAGGCGAATCCTCCAAGTTTTTCAAGATAGACCTGATTCGACTTAAACCATCAAAGGAAATCTCAGTTTTCGACTGGTGGAGCAGAGCGATCAGCCGAGTGGAGTCAGGAATAGAAAGATATTGAAGGTCGGCGCTAGCCCGACTTCCGTAAAACCGATCATAAGCATAAATAGATTGTTCGGGTTGTAAGCCCGAAGTCTTCTTCGCTAAGTCGACTGAGCTCAAATAGGTATTGAGGGCAGCAGTCAGTGAGAGGGCAGCTGAGCGGACAGGTTTACAGGGATCGATTAGCGCAATCATTACACTGGGTATGAGGATCTGGTAATCCAGCAGTGTCACTTTGTCAGAGTTTTGGCTACAGGCTGTTAAAGCTTTGATCTCTGCTTCGGCATCGAGGAGAGCCACGACACGAAATGATTGGTTGAAGAGAGATGAAGTCCAGACTCTGGCAAGGAATGTAAGCCATTCTTGCTTCAAGATGTTATGCCGTAGTGTTCCCGAGATCATTCTTGCCAGTGACTGTTGAGTGGTATGCGAAGCTGAATGGCTGAATAAGTAAAGCTTGAAGCAAAAACTCGCGATGTCTGAGGGTTGCGAAACGATTGAAGTCGATGAAATAGGGTCCATAGCTTTCAAGATACCCGGCTCTAACCAACAGTATTCAGGGCGTTTGAGTTTATCAGCTTGAGTAGCAGCCTTCGTCAGAATTGAGGCAGTGAGTCGACTGAAAAGTTTTTCGGAGCTTGTTTTGGAGTAAAACATTTCCAAGATTGAACGATCAGTTCCGGCATCTCCTATGTCCATATTCACCCATCGGTTAAAGCCGCCCGAATCGGTCTGGACAGTCATATAATCGATTAGGGCGCTCATCAAAGCTCCAGCTACGCCCCCAGATAAGCCAGATGTAATGCTCCACAAACAAAGCAAAGGTACTAGTCTAGCCGTTGGTGACTCGAGTTTGTTATCTTTCCTTAACTTTTGAAGCAGGCCGATGACAGCGGAGTCACCCCGTTTCAAAATATTTTGACCGACACCATCCAGTAAGCTTTCATTAGCCGTGATCCTGGATTCAACGCTATCTCCGGGTACTGGTGCGGGCCAAACTCCTTCAAGGATCGTTCCGTTCCATATGTTTTTGTCGTGGACATGCGTCCAAAACACTGAGGTTGACTTGGCCGTACTTTTGGTCCAAAATAGCCGCGCGAGAATTATTTCCTCAGAGACACGGATAGCCATGTCGGGATACTGATGTAGAAAAGGACCCATGAGAAATGAGAGCCAATGTTTCAAGGTGGATCTGGGTGTTTGGTGACAACAGAGGATTGAGGTCGCAGCGCTCATTATATCATCAACTTTGACAGCCTTGAGCAAAGCTTGTGGGAACGAGAGCAGGAGCTCTGACGTGGTCGGTTCAGGATCCTTGAGGATGGTCTTGAGGGCGGAGTTTAAAAGATCCGAAGGGCTCCCAGAGCCATCCAAAGCATTGGCGTTCATCTGCTCCATGATTGCCTTGAGTGAATCCTGCCTCACTATGGCACTCGAGCTACTGAGGCCGACAACTGAGGGATCACACTGGTCGGTCGTGAGTGGGACATCGCCCGAGAGTAGGCGGAGAATTCTTGGGATTGACTCCTTGGCATTTCCTTCGCTCGTAGAGAGAAGACTTTGCGCGATTTGCTCGACCAGGTCAGGGTGGCGTTGAAAAAGAATTCCAAGAGGGCGCAGTGCAGCTCGGTGAGGCACTTCCATCGGGAGTAAAACGGAGAGCGATTCCGTGATAAAGGTTTCAACTAGTCCAGTTGGAAGATCATAAATTTGGGCAAGTTTTACGACAAGCTCCTCGGCCACAACTTCGTTCTTCAGGGTACACTTGACCAATCCTTGGATCAAACTCTTCCAAAATGCAGATACTTCATAAGTTTCGCACATGGACCGTAGTAATTCACCAACTTTGAAGAATCGACATATGGCGTGACACGACTTGCTGGATAATCGGATTTCACCTTCTTCAGTGTGATTTTGAAAAATGACAATCAGGGTTTGCATCATGGCCTCGTCGTGTTCTCTCCAAGCGAGGTTGCCCAATACCGAAGGGTCGACGGAATCTGTACTAGGATGTCCTTCAATTACGTATTTAGCAAGATTTTGGAGTACCGCGCGGGGCAAAGTCGATAAACGAGCTAGGGCGGATATGATGATGAGGTGAGTGAGTCTTGTATCAACTTGAGTGCTTTGAACTCCATCCACCAAGACCGGAAGAAGAGTCACAAGAATCGGCTGAGGGAAAGCTTGTTGTGTGGCGAGTTGGGGAGATAAACGTCTAAATAATCCTAGGAATACGTGAAGGTGAAATCCTTAGAAGAGCTTGGTGAGCTGGGCCGTATTTAGTCACAGAGGGCAAGATTCTTGTTACGTATCGGAGCAGTTCCGGCGAGGTGATCATTGCATCAATCAGAAGTTTATGCGGTAAACCAGTGCGTGACTTTTGGACTGATCGAAGGAATTGAAAATGGGGATGAGATTTGAGGCGAATGATGTGGAGCATGGCCAGAACTGAGGGGTATCATGGTAAGGCAAGAAAATAGACACCAACGTTGGCACATCAAACTCGTGAATTCTAATGAAAGTAGGAACAGGTTAGTCTATGGGCAACTGGCCACCCGTACTGGCTAGTCTTGTGGACAAATTGCTTACCGGAATCTCCTGACGAGCCACTCAAGCACGTGTGCACTAGGTTTGCTCAAGAGGTAGGGAGACAGTCGAATCAGGAATTCTTCAATGGTTGTAGTCAATAATTTAGCCTCATTGGGGTCCAAGAGAGTTCGGTCGATGCGTTTGGTAGCCTCTCCAAAGAGGGGTTGGTTGAACTTTTGAAAGAGGCGATCGTAGAGTGAGATTTGTTGGAAGCCATCGACACCGATCTGATGAACTTGGTCAATTGTTAGCTTGGCAGCCTGTGAGGGCGAGTAAATGTAGGAGTCTCGGCGGCCCGGGTTCTTGAGTCTCCCTGTTTCTGGATTGGATTGGGCAAGTGTGGCGAGTTGATTTTTGAGTGAGGCCATGCTGACGATTTTCGACAGTCTTGACTTCGTTGGAACCAACGGCTAGAATTTTGTTGTTAGTAAGATGTGCCTGCAGCGAGGGCAGATGGACTGGGATCTACTGGAGAAATTTGAGTCCCTCCGCACAGCCAATATATCTCCGCGGCGTGCAACCTGTGGGTGGATATATGCATCACTGCATATGCATAATGAGTGAAATTGAATTCTGCAGCCGATCTGACCGCTCTCGATCATCGCCGGGGTCCGGTGGTGTAGTTGGTTATCACACTCGCTTCACACTCATACAGCTCTTGGGAAGGAGTCGCGAGAGGTCATGAGTTCGAGCCTCGTCCGGATCACCCTTGCTTTTGCTAGCCGGTCCTTTCTCTGGGCACCTGACTCCAAGGGACTCACGTAGTTGGACTAGTAGTTTGCTGTTGAGTGGAAGGCTTTAGGACTAGTGACTTGTAGTTTGCTTTTGAGTGGAAGACTCCCCTGTGCTCTGTAGCTCTTGTTTTGTACCTTTGAAATCTAAATGCTATGTTGCACTTGCTAATAGATATATGTATTCCCACATTTCTCAAAAGATTTGCATTTATTTCTTTACAGGGGTAAAATTGAGAAATCAAGACTTGAAAGAATTCCTTTGGTTTCATTGATTGATGGCATGCTTCCAGTCAGACCCTCACTAAGTTGCCCTTCAACTCTTTTATTTGCATCACAAAGTGTTGACCAATTGAATGAGATCATGGCTGTTGATTGGGGAAAACAGCAGACAACCCTTGTTTGAAATGGGACCTTTGCTGATGCATCAGCAAGTGTTAGTGAGTGTTTGTAGGACAGCTCCCAACAATCCCACCACATATTGAGATAGAAGAATTGTAAATTCCTGAGACATTGTGAACACACAAGCCAAAGGAATCCGCCTGTGACTCACAAAGTGAGAAGAGTGCAGGAATCTTACCCATCTGCAAAGGAAGGTGCACATATGCATACTGTGAAGCACTAATGAAGCAGAGGTAAGCAAGATGAGGAGAGAAAGGACTCAGAGAAACAAACAGGAGAGAACTGAAAGCACATACAGTTGCACAAGGCATCTTACAAAATATACACACCTGCCTGCAAAAATCAAAATGAAATTTCACACACAGGCCAGAACATTCACAAGTGGTAGGTAAGACATGCAGATGATGGATTTGGGCAAACTTAACAAACCCCTTGCTTTGGAGGGCCTGGTGGCCTTGTCTGGTGTGGAACGCCACTTGCGCAAAGTGCAAGCCTCTGAAGGAGGGACTTGGATTTTTTAACTGTTTAGTTTTCTTTTTTTTTCAAAAATTTCTTGATGGAAGTCAAGACCTCCATGCAGTTGGGCATCTTTTCAGAAGATCCACAAGCTGAATTTCCAATCATAGGAAATTCAGCTTGTGGATCTTCTGAAAAGATGAGTATGATTTTTGGTGTGAAAAACAGCCAAAAAACTCGAATGGGACATGCAAGCTTGCTTGTTTTGGGATCAAGCCTCTCCTGTACTTTGTGTTCAACAGAGAGGCTGTACAAGCTCAAGATCTGGGCTGTTTGGAGGTTGTAGAATTCAATTCTAAAGGGATTAAGGGTTTGAGCCAGCCATTTTTCTATTTTACCCTGCCCCAATACAAAAAGGCAGCGCAAGTCCATAGCCTGAGTAAATAAAAATGAACTTAAGCTCTATAAATACATACCTATGCAATCAGAAAACCTCCCACTGCAACAAATTCAAGCTGCCAGAGACGAAAAAAAATGATTTTTTTTGAAGCCTGAAATTACAAACAGCTGGGAAATCCTGTACAGTAGGATGCCTTGTGCAACTAAAGGTCATGCTTTACAGCATTTTTTGTAAAATGAAAGAAGGAAAGAAATGGCAAAAAATTGGATCAAAGACTATCAGATGAAAAAGGCCAAGATGATTTTCCAGTTCAGCGCAGGAAAGAGAGGAAACTAGCACTGGACAGGGAACAAGAAATCTCTTGTGCCAAAACTTGTATGTACATCTGTACCCCAGCAGTATTCTGTGCTAGAATTGGAGGCTTGGAAAAATGGAAGCTGTCAAATGCATGTTTGTACTCAAAATCTTGGTGAATATATAAACTTCCTCAGCCTCAATGCCTCATGACACTTCAGAATTCTTGTTTTACTTCAAGCAAATCATCAGAAAGAATGTGTGAAATACACTCCCACCACCAAAGAAATTCAAAGGTTTTGCATTATTTGGAACAAATAAAAAAACAAACTGTGGCACCAATGGAGAGTGGATATGAACTCACTATCAAGTTTCTCATCCCATCAAATATTGGAATGAGAACTTGGCAATTTATGTACGCTGGTTAAGCTTTTTGGACCCAAACTTTCCAAGCATCTATTTAGTTGAATTTCAGAAAGCATATCACATCTCATCCCACTCTTCTGGTGTATCTTTTCTTACAATACAACACCCTGGCTTCATAAGAGATTCCAAGACCAGATTGCAGGATATAGACTTTAAATGCAAACATATCATTAAAACACACTCAGCCCAAGAAAACAAAAGGCCACACAATGACAAGATTTCCAGCAAACCAGAAAGTGGTTGGCCATGTGGAAGGACATCAGTTCAGATTTTCCCAAAGACGATTTGACCATTTAAGACAGTCGCTAGGACTTGAGCATTCAAGATCCGCTCTGAGATTTGATCTCTGGATTTTGAAGAATCAAATAGATTTTGATTGATGATCACAAAATCAGCCAGTTTTCCAACGCGTAAACTTCCGGTGAGATGCTCAGTGAAGCCGGCAAAACTAGCATGGATCGTGAACCCATCGATGATTTGTTGGAGGCTTTCGATCCTTTCTGATGGATACCATCCTTGATGATCATCGTTATCACTGGGACCTGGCTTTCTTCGAGTGAATGCCGCATGGATTCCCAAGAAAGGTGACACCGATGAAACCGGAAAGTCTGATCCTAAAGCTAATGTCACATTATTCCTTGAGAGTCCACGGTCGAAAGAAGAAAAGAAATCTAAGCCATCTATAGCAGTCATACTAATGATAAGATAGTTGTGATGCATCAGCTTGAAGAGCTTACTTCAACAAGCTGTTCCATGCATAGGCTCCACGTATTCTTTCACTTCCAAGCCGAGCCTCAGCGTAGTCCATGTCGGCAATTGCTACGGCCAGCGGATATTGGATGTTAGCATTAATAGGTCGTACGTGCGAACGAGCAAACCGAACCCATCTTTTATCCATCAAGGTAATTCAATAAGACTGACCATGCGTGGGCTGAACACTAGCTATAATGTCCATTTTGCCGATCCTTTCTATATCCGCAAGGCGAAGAACTTGTGCATGTTCGATCCTGAGCCGGGGAAAGTTGAATGGGCGTGCCGAATGAGTAGAGCGATTCAGGTTACTCAAGACGTTTTCGTACGCGTCGATGACCAGCGTATTGGCGCGATCGCCAATCGCATGCGAGTTCACTTGGAAACCGGCCTCGACCCAGCGTTGAATTAGTGGAAGAAAGGCCTCCTCAGGAGCACGTAAAACGCCCCGCGATGACCTCAAGTCTGAATGATCATTGAAAATATCGAAAACGGAAATATGTTGGATCAGATGGACTCGTCGTGGCTTTGCAAGTCCGGAACCTCCCAACCTGAATAGGGCTCCCAAAGTGCTGCTCCCCAAGAGCCTAATGCGCCATCCACGAATAGCTTAACACTGCTGCAAGTTGGGTTTGGGAGACGTTATTACGATGAGGTCAATGAGCGTGCAACCGATATCTCTCACCGGAGGTTAAATTTGTCACCGGTTATTTTCTCGACCTGGTCTCCGCAATACGTGTATCCGCAATTGACCATACCTGTTACCCTCACAGGTAACTTATCTTGATCATCGAGTGTTTTGTAAAACCTTATAGTTTCTAGGTCTGTGGCGGCATCGTTTACGGTCGTCAATCCGACAGACAGCATTTCTTTGGCTGTCGACTCAAGGTATCTAAAGCGGTCCTCATCCGTCCTTTCGGGGATGATTGCATCTGTTTAAAAGAGGTGATATCGGTCAGATTATTCGGCTCGGATAGAGTATTTGAGTCGGCCATAAAAGAGGCCAACACACCTACCGATCAAATCCATGGCATTATCGACAAAGACGCCAGTAGGTTTCCCATCCTGGTTCTTTACGACTTCGCCGCCCTCCATGTCCAGGGGAGGATTTTTAGCAAGGACCGAATCGAGAACAGCCTCTGAAACCCAATAAGCATGGTAGTCGATTCGTCTTAGGACGATCTTCTTCCCCTGAAGTTTTGGGTTGTTGGAAAGAGCAGCCTAGGAAGCAGACCGAGGATGTTGAAGACGACGTAATTCAGGAGCCCGGGATGTCTCTTCGATCGGGTGTGCGCTGGTTTTAATCCACGTGAACTTACCGCGGTAGGAAAATGCTTGCCCTCGAACAGGGTTTGGTCCCACCCGCTTCCACGAATAATCAGATTCGGATTCGCAGATTGCAAGCTTGGGTGACTGATTATGCGATCAATGATGGCTGGAACCCCGTCGAGATAGGTCGAATGGCAAACGTTCGTTCCGACCGATACGCGCCGAAATCAAAAGTGAACATGATAGATTTCGAGCGCAAGTTAAAAGAATGGATGATGACATGTATCAGTAGTGGACCATAGTAGGTGTATTGAGTGCAAAAGAATATGCCAACCAAATCTCACATTGAACCGATTTGCAACCAACCAGGTCGACCCCTACCAATCCTTCTCCGTACTCGAGCGGGTGTGCATGGGCATCAATCAATCCTGCAAGACAAGAAACAGATAGCAATCTGATTCAGCAAGGTTCTGAATTGCACAATACCCGGTAAAGAAAGTCGAAAGGATGGGAAGAATAAGAACATACTGACCCGGGAGTAGGGAGACTTCCCCATCCAGTGTGTCAATCGCAAGTTGACCACCGTTGGTCGAGTAGTTGAACTTTAGCCACGCTTGCATACGATCGAGCCATCCCGGCTGAGCATGGGACTTCTCCAGCTCATCCCTCTTGCCCGCAAAGCTGATCCTATGGCCCTTGACGGCGATGCACTCGACGAAGGGACTGTCCGGCTCGGCGGTATAGATCGTTCCTCCAGAGACGCAGACAGCATGGGTGCTGGGTAGGACTGGCTGGAAGCGGTAAGTCAGATAAGCAATCAGGAAGGGTGTGATCATCCAGGCCACGTTCTTCCATCCAAAGATACAGGGCCGTTCGACAGTGAGGTTGCCCGTCCGCCTCGTCCCGTCCTTGTGACTCTGGGCAAGTCCCTCGTTGCGCTTTTCTGAGCTTCGGACTGGAGCTGGAGATGGCATTGTTGATAACCCGGTAGCATTCGCTGGATGGCTCAACAAATCCGTAGATTTACACCCATCGAGAGTTGGATGTCCTCCTAGTTTTCACGAAGCCCATTTCCAAACCTAACTTACTGGGTAACCCCCGTTGCCTCAACATTCTATGTATATTTATCAAACCATTCCACCGTCGTGTCCAGTGCGACAACACCCATTGACACTTTCGTCAACGTGGCGAGCTTCTAACAGTCAGCTCACTTGTCTAAGAGATGGACTGCACAGAATATTGGTGCCAGAAATGGTTGCTTGGCCGCGAGTGCTCCTTGATGGCACTTCATCAACCAATTCGTCCGACAAGAGCTCAGACTGAGTTTGTCCGGCAAGTCCCTGGGCTCTCGAGCTCGTCGAGTATAGCACTTGTCGGACTGGTATATCCGACGAGTCAGTTGATGAAGTGCGGAGTAATGATCCTTCGGAGATAACTTGTCCGCCCAAATCGATACATATTTCAAAAGATAAGATCAAGATCTTTGAGACACCGGGGAGCTTTCAAATCTAACTTTGTATCAACTAGTCAGTCAATGAGAACGCATCAAAGCAATGATCCGTGTCTGTGAGAAAAGCACATCAACTATCTATGGACGAAAACAGTCCGATCGGAGCTTGATCACCGTTCACGCAGGCTCAAACTTCACGCTGACGAAGAAGGAGATCGGGGCAGTCTGGCTGGAGCCTACCGATGAGGCAGGATGAGGAGGCTCTGAAAGGAGGCCGATGGAAGAGATAAAAGGCCAGCCTGTCCTCACTCATTCAGGTCCTCCATCCCAACACCTCCCACCCAAAACCCTGAACGGAAAGAAAAACCACCTTCTCCACCAAAGAAAAAAAAAAACCAAACCGAAAGACACCACGATGTTCATCTCTTTAGCCTCCCTCTTGGGCTTCATGATGGTCTTGCAAACCGCCACTGTCTTGGCCTCGCCCGTCGAGGTCGACCACCAAGTCGCGCCAAAGTATTGTCGTCGTGACGGCGATCACTCCACCAAAACCTGCTAGTCGAGCTCCCTGACGAATTGGTGGAAGAGGCCGAAAAAAGGTGAAGCCTTCCTTCCCTCTCAGCTCTTGTCGCAATCACTCTGCATTCTACCTGTCCCTCGGATTGTAAAGCTGACTCCAAAGCCCCTTCTTCTTTTTCTGGTGACAGAACCGAGCCCTTGGCGATCCCGATGGTCCAACTCGTCTAGTCTGCCTTATTTTTTTTCCGGCTTATCTATCCCATGCTTCTCCAGCTTTCTCTTCCTCATGCCTTTGCAACCTCAATCCCAGTTCTGCAAGCACTGCCCCCTGTTACCTACGCAACTCCGTGATTGTCTATACAAGTTTGCTGTCGAGAAAGCTATTGTACAGTGCCTAGACAGTGAAAAGTGGCTGCCTATTTTGGATTCCAGAGCTCCAGAGCACAAATTTGAAATCATGAGACTTGGTCAGGTGGTGCATAATAGGTCCCAAAAAATGAATATGAAATAACAAAAGCAAAAAATAAAGTTTCAAAATTTGTGAAAAATAAAAAATAAAATTGATTTTTTTCAAAAGCTTTGATATTCATTTTGGGGGAGTGGGAGTGCTGAGAGAAAGAAATATTGGGAAATGAGAAGAATGATTATGAATGAAAATTTTGGAAAAACTGGTTTTCAGATGGCTTCAAACAGCTGTTGAGTGGGGCATTCACCAGCCCACTTTGCAGCAAAGCACTAGAATTTACTGTTTTGGCTCCAATCTGGACCACCAACCTGGCCAAACCTTATTTGGTTCAAATTTTTTTGATTTATAATCATTCTTCCCACGTTTCATTCATTCTTTCTCTCAGCACTCCCACTCCCTCAAAATGAATATCAAAGCTTTTGAAAAAAATTGAGTTTGTTTTTTATTTTTCACAAATTTTCAAACTTTATTTTATGCTTTTATTATTTCATATTCATTTTTTGGGAGCTATTATGCACCACCTGACCAAGTCTTATGACTTCAAGTTTGTGTTTCAGAGCTCTGGAATCCAAAATAAGCAGCCACTTTTCACTGTCTACCCACCGTACTTCTTTCCGAACATGTTGTTGTCATTGAATATTGTTGTATTCTTGCTGCTCCTGCATCACGGCTTGCTTATCAAAGGGATAGCCCTATGATTACAGGAATATAGCGTATCAGATGATTGGCATACGCGTCCATTGCTTGCCCAAGCCATTGAGAGTCGAATGCGGTCATGCCGTTGTTGAGGATAGGTTTAACACAGGGAAAGCCCCAAACAGAAACCTGGAGTGACCAATTACAAAGGCTTGGCATGCTATGAAGTGGGACTTAAAGCATGCACTTCTTCAACAGAAGAAACATCTGTAAAGAATCTACACCTCAGTGACTTGGGATATTTTTCCTAATCAAATACCCTTTTCCTAATCAAATACCCAAAGAGCCAACATGAAGCAGCTGGGCTAGGCCTACAAACCCGTGGGGCTTCAAGTTCCAAGCTCATGAAACGTCCAATTTTCTTTTTATTTTCACGGTTTTTTTATTTTTGGTTGTTAGTGATCATTTTCTTCAAAAGCAGACTTATATATAAAACACACACACACACACAAACAAAAAGAAAAGAAACCTCCACAATTCAAACAAACAAAGAAGTGACTACATCGACAAAAATAAAAAAAAGAAAGGGAAAGATATGTAGTTTGATGGTCTTGATGATCACATAAAAAAAAAAAAATAAGGATAGAAAAAAAAATTACAAAGGAAAAAAAAATAGATTTTTTTTGTAGAGTTTGTAAGACTTGAATGAAAAGACTGATTGCCCGATTGCTTTGAATGAAAGAAAAGATACTAAAGATGATGTCACTTATCATGATGATCTATTCAATTATTATAGATATATATATGTGAGAAAGAGAGAGGGAATGAGAGAGAGAAATGAAATGAGGGGCAATAGGGTTTTCAAAAAGTCGAAGCAGTTATAATTTTTTCAGACATGTTATTATAAGAACCAAATATTTTCTACATACGGACCAAAAAAAAGAACACTCCGAATAGATAGATGATACTGATCAACTTGAACAACCATTTTTGTTTATGTATTTCCTAGACGATATAACGTTTCTCAACTGCCATACAACCTAGAACCACTACTCCGATGGTGGAGGTCCGAGGCCGGGGGAGCAGGAGAAGGGACAGATGGCGTAGACGAGGACGAGGCGATAGTAGCGAGAGCGGAGTGAGGCAGTGGAGGGGCAGGATGATGATGATGATGGTTGCTCGATAAGTTCCGCCGAGAGAGGCCGGCTCCGTTGTTCTTGGCGGCCCGTTGAGACGCACTGCTCGCTTGGCTTTTCTGTTGCGCATTCACCGAAACCATCGTCGAGATTTGCTGTTGTAAGAAATCACTCGTCCCCGGCCTAATAAGATTAAAAACAAAAAAAACCCGGTTAGAATCTCCTGTTTTTTTTCGCAAGGACAACACGAACTGATGTAATGAGTGCATACCTTAACCTCAAGATCCTCATAATCAACTCAGAACTGATAGTCTCATGATCCAATTTCTTTTTATCAGCCTTGCGTTTACGAATAGTGCCGAGATTCCTTTGTTGATAGACCGATTTATTTCTAGAGACCGAATGATTAGTGGTAGTCTCCTTCCGCAACTGTTGTTGCATCGCTCGAACACACTCTTCCATCCTGTTTTGTTGTTGATTTAAGTTTAAATTAGTTTACTCATTAGACATCTTCAACAATCATTTAATTCACAAAAGATCAATTGAGAGGAGAAATTGAAACTTTTTTTTTCATTACTTACAAAGAATCAGTATGTTGGTCATAGAAAAACCCAATCGACCAGATCTCTTTATACTTCTGATTATGCAGATCTTCGATAGGAACGCCTTCGCCATCAGCATGAAAGAAATTAGTAAGGAACTAGAAACAGTGACATCGATCATCAATTTTCTCAACTTAAGTAAAACGAAGGATGTTATTTCGGCGAGAGAAAAGAGGGAAGGGGGAGACAAACTTTCAACCATTTCAAGACGATGTCCACTTCCTTCCCACTCAACGCTCGCATCTCTGACGGCTGATCAGATAGCGGAGGTAACAGCAACGAATCGATGATCGATAGGATTTCCTTCCAGAGCTTAGCCATCACCAATTGTCCAGCTTTTTTTTCCCACATGAAATTTGACACACAAAAAATAAAAGAAAATCAACACATGAAAAAAAGACCATCAAAACAAAAAAGAATGAAACCAACCTTTTTCGCTCAATGAGTTCCGCAGAGTAGACATGCATTGATCCAAGTACTCGAAAAGATCAGCAATCGCGGCCTCGATATCGGCATCGGTGAGACCTTTAGGGCCCTTGATCCTAGAGTTCTCAACAGGCGTGACATTATTGTGATTATTATTGAGATTAGAGACTATAATCTCGTCCTTGGGCAGTGGGATCTCTTGTTCACGGGTCGAATTGGCCACCGAGCGCCAGAGTCCGGCACCGTAACTTGTTACCTTCGATAGATCTAGATCTAGTTTCGTCGACATCTTCGTCATCTCTATCCCTTTCATCATCAATCCCGGTGTCGAGACCAATTTCTTCAGTGTCGAATGCGATAGATAGTATCGAATCACTGGTGAGATCTATCCGAGGAGAATAAATCGTCAGTTGGAAAGCTCTCTTTTTCTCGTTCTTTTTACGCAAATAGACAAAATCGATGTGCACCGCTCTGAAAGATTAGTACTACTGACCTTATCGATAATCATCCGAACCATGTCCGTTTCGGCTCGCTTGAGCGACCGAAAAGCTCTTCCGAAATGAAACTGAACGTCATCCTTCTCGCCTTCCATGCTTACACGGAGCAAGACCCTGCCCCTTGTATCGAGGTCCAACAAGAGATCATGGGCCAAGAAGTCGTTGAATTCTTTGGGGTTGAGGTGGAGAAAGGCGCGGCCGATGTAGTCGTGTTTCTCCATCAAGTTGCGTTTGTAAATCGTCGCGGCAAGCCAGAGGGAACTCTTGACTGAGATATCGAAGGTCTCGTTCCAGGTTGGCGAAGCGCTTTCGTACACCGTCCGCGTCTTCGCTACCCGGTTGCCCCTCTCATCACTCAACGTTAGGAACGGGTCCATCTTGTGAACATGTCCGTCCGCCCCGACTAGACCTTCGGCCATTACCACTTTCACCGTGAACAAGTAGCTCGAAGCACTCAGCACACTCTGTCCGGTCGGCGCCGGCTCATATTCATGGATGATCCGTGCCACGTTGTCCGCATCAATGGTGTTGTACATCTTGTCTAGTAAGACTCTGGCCGCTTCGACGTTATTCAACTTGACGCAAGACTTGAATTCCGAAGACTCCTATCAGTCCTGTGTGAATCGGTCTACATAAATTTTTAAACCTGCTTACCGATTCTTGAAATTGGAACGCCTCAGGCTTTTTATCTCCTTGAACAACAAGCCTTGCCCGCGTCCAGATGGCTGACCGATTTGCTTCTCGATCTGCATCCGTACTGGCTTTGGGAAACATCTCCTCGACAAAAGATTCTTCGATGATTCCGGAATACTGTTCAATTGATTTACTAATGATCTAAAAAAATAACCATCCGAATGATATAAGACAAATCTGCTCTTCTTAGGATGAAGGATACGATGAGGAGACAAACTCGAGAAAGCTTGGTCATAAACTTCGCATTGTGGTATTCGTTAGGCCATTTCAGTTTCTGAATGAAATCGACGGCGGAGCAACAAGAGTCCATAAGGTCGATGATCGAAGAACTATGTGAGTCATTTCCTTCTGGAGAAAACTAATGATCCATCATAAAGATAATCAGTTTTCTCCACAAAAAAACGGGGTCTCAATTGATTTGAGCACGGAAGGGTACCTTGTCAGCTTTGATCGCCGATTGCACCCATTCACTCGTCTTTTTTTCCGCCGCTTCAAGCCAGTTCTGGACGTATGGAAAGAACCATTCGTCGATTGGGATGACCAATGGAGCACTGAGAGAAGACAAGCGAGCAATCAGCATCACGGATCAGCTAATTGCCAAGTAGGAGGTAATCCAAGCGTCCGACAGTGATAATTTGGAGAGGAACTTACTTTGGGTTACACATATTATGTTTCTTTTCGAGTTCTATCAAGGCACGATAGAGATCCAGGACATCTGCATCATTGAATGTCGGGCTATCCGTCGGATTGATTACGGAACCAGGTGGGAGATGAGGATTGAGAGAGGGGGGCGGAGGGGGGATGAGGATTTGTTTCATTGCATCAAGATCTTGGACGAGGTTTTGGCAGAGTTTGGCGAGATAGATGGCGACTAGATCGATGCGATCCAAGACAGGCTGCCTGAACTTCTTATTGATCCGATTCGAGCCGGTATTGATCCAAGCAGTCAGGTCCAGGAAGGGCACGATATCGTTCGGTCGCTCGGCGGAGAAGGCCTCGGTGGATTTGAAGGTGTAGAGTCGGTCATAAAGTTCGCTGATTGCCTCGGTAAACTCCCTGAACCGCTGATCTAAATCCGTGATCATTTTGAATGGCTCAGACTCGTAAATCGAGATCAGACATTCCAGGGCATTAGGTAGGTCTTCACATGAATTGGATTCCAAGACTAATTCAAGCGCCTCATATATGCGTCGGAGGAGGGTATCAAACAAGCTAGACATCGTTTTTTTCATAATCATTTTCTTTTTGTTTTTTTGGAGGGTGAAAGGATTAGAGGGAGAAGATCAGCATTTAGTCTGGTGAATTTCGATCGAACGAAATTTTTAAAGTATATATACCAAAATGGCCTACATCACGAGTTGCCCAGCCATCAAACTTCAGTTCTTCCATCACTCTAAAGACATCCGTCAGAGCTTCGGTAACACAATCGATGATCGGGATCTCTTCCTCTTCGAATCTTCGACAGATTGCAGAGAAGAAGACAGCGACTTGGAATGGGGTCATTAATCTCCAACGAAACGCGCACTGTTCCAGTAAATCTAGATGACGGGTTGATAGGATCTTTAGGGAGACCTCTTCATCCTCTGCAAGACTTTTCATTGATTCGAGATCAAAGTCCAGACATTGATCCATTAGGGCTTTGTACTGCAGGATCGGGTTGGGTGGGATATAAACGAACTGAGTCGTCGAGAGCTCTTCAGCGCTATAGGAAAAGCCACAATCATCTTCCCCCCTCTCTCCATCTAGATTTTCGTCCCATTCCAGGACTTGGTTGATACTATCCTGCTGGTGAAGATCGGCAGCCAAGAGGTTCCCGGAGCTCGAGACTGATTCAGGTCTCAAGAGTGAGTTTCGTTGACTGCCATTCTCACCCGAATTGGCAAAGTAACCCAGACTAGAGCCAGAGTCGAAACCAGAGGTGTGATCTCGGGTCAAGGTTGAGGGAGAGCTCTCAGTATCTCTACTAGTAGTTCCGACGAGTACGAAGTCATCCTGTGGGATTTGGTTTGAGTTTGGCGTCGAGTAAGACTTCGATCGGGCCAGGTCTGGATTCGCTCTGATCATCTGTAACATCGCGTGTTGGATCTGGGCTAATTCTTTCGTTCGCCATTCCCGATATCCATCATCGGAATCGAAATCAGCCCTTCGACCGGGGAATCGACACTGTTGAGCGATATTCGCTATACAGAGCTTAAAGTCGTCGAAGGCTGCCTATTGATAGAGAAGGGGGGAAATGAATGAGAAACACGATGATGAGAAATATGACTTTTTTTATTTTTGTTCTGCATATGTGGATTTGGTTGTCATGAAAATATTGAGAATAAATGAACCATTAGGATAGAGGAAGCTGAAGATCTCGGACCTTCTCTGAGCAATTTTTCCTAATATTATTCAAATCTTTCTGGAGCTGAGAGTCTGAGATTGCGAAGAGAGAACCGATGGTCTTGACGGTGGGCATATCGTGTATACTGTGACTGATACTCCAGGGGGAAGAAGAAGAGCCCTCGGCGGGTGAGGTGAGTGCGGTGCTGGAAGGTGAGGGCAGTTTGCGTGAGTCGGTATTGGAGGATGATGGCTCGTGACTGGAGGATGAGGCAGGTGCTAGTTTGGAGGCATAACTGTCGAGACGGGTCATCAGTTCTTGTGGTACGTTCTTGAGTTCCTTTGATCTCAGACAGTCTCGGATGATGGTCACGAAGACTCCGACCTGAGAGTTCAGATGGATCTTCCATTCGTCCCCTTCTAGTCGTTTCCTGAGTACGCCAGTGGCGGTGGTGACGAAGAGTAGGATGAGTGCCTCGATGTTCCGGTTCTCCTTGAGCTGTTTTAGATAATAGTCTTGAGTGTAGGTGCCATAGAATACGCCGAAGGTGGATCGGAGGAGTAAGTCTTGATAGTTTTTGTCGGTGCCCTTGGCGATCGCCTCGATCCTGAACTTGAGTGCTTTGACGAGATCCTTTGGGAACTTGACACTCTTCTCTGACTTTGATGAGCCGGATCCATCCTTGAAGACATCGGCGATCGAGAAGATGGTGTTTGTCCATGTTTCAGCCTGATGACGGAGATGGGGACGATGCTGAGCGGGGTGATTGGATTTTGAGTGGGTTGAGCTTGAGGCATGCAGATTGGAAGTGCTGCTGCTGTTGTTGATAGTCTCGTCGTTCTTGATTGCCAGTTGGCGAACCGAGGTGAGATAGGCCAGATAGGCCACTCGGAGTGAGTACTGGTAGAGTTCGTCGGCGTTTGATTTCCCAGTTGCCGATAGTCCTGAGAGTGCTGAGAGGGTTGATAGTCTGCTTCGACGGGACATGGTGGGTCTGTGGTTGAGGCTGAGGCTGAGGCTGAGGAGGTGGTTCTTGGCACTTTTGAGTTGGGAATCGGATTGAGGAGGAACACAGCACTTGGACGGACAGGCCAATGAAGGCTCCTGTTCATACAATACCATATGACTGTATTTTGTACATAATATGTACAAACTCACCTAGGTCAACCTTGATTAACTTCTTCTGTCTGCCCAACTCATGATTTAAAGACAAGCTGTACTGATCTTCTTCTCATCGGCGAGCTTGGCTGGAGTGGTGACCTCCCATCTCAGCTGAGCCTGGAATGACAACTCACCACAAAGGCAGTCCTGGTCGGACCCTTCCTACTTAAGACAGAATGCATCAAATCAGAACTTGACTAGTGGATGGCAGCAGATGTTTGGCAAGGAGAAAACAAAAGAGAAACAGCACATGTGAAGATGTTTGTAGAGTGGAATTCCAACAGAAAGGCAAAAAATCAAAAAAAAAATCAAGTAGAGAGAATCAACGCATGGAGCTAGCTGCTAGATATGAGGATGCATGTGGAAAGATGAGGACAAAATATGATCCCTGAGGCACTACAATACTGCTGCTTCCAACTACAAACGACAAAAGGAGATCTTCGCAATAACAAACTGGTGCAGGAGAAGTTGGAGGCACACCACAAACACAATCCAAACAATCCACTACTAACTAGTAATGATTACTCCTAGTTATAACCCAACGACCATTATGCCAAACCAGTTGAGGTTTCTCTTCTGAGGTGGCTGGATGTTTCACATGGATGTCTCTCTTAGGATCTTTTCTGTTTGATCAAGAAATTTTATTCACAAAAATCAGCTTATATTAGAATCATCTGAGCTAGTTAGAGAATGCTGGAATAGGAACATACATCTCATCAAATTTCTGCATCCAAAACATCTTAATCTCCATATCAGTTTTGTTTTGCCTACGAAACTCACCAATTCTGCGACTGTTGGTCATGTGGATCAAGTCCAATTATCTCATCATCAGATTTCATCCAGAATGCCACTCTAAACTGTACCAAGATGAAAGAAAAGCACTCACTTGGCCTTCATGAACTCCAAGACATGATCAAGCAGAGTGGAGAAATTCACCCATGATCCAGGTTCATGCTTCCCACTGAAGCATGTCCTGGATTCATTCATACCATGAATATAATCAACCAAAATAGAAAGACAGAGAGAATTAATTTTAAGTTTTCTTTCTAATTATTCAAAGGCAACATTACCTCAAATAAATTTTCAAACTCTGTGATAGTTTTGGACCATCTAAATCATAAAGGTTTAACAACTCTTCTAATATCTCTAAGAAGTACTCATATGATCTGCATACAGCCAGATCATGTAAAAGAAAAACATGTCAGGTTGAAATTCTAGGCTCTATCATAGTTCAAGAAACTGACACTTCTCTTTTTTCCATGTCTTTGTATACTCCAACTGCGCCTCCATCCAAATGGGAGGGAACAAAATTCCCTTTGATTTCCTCTATATTTGTTTTGGATTTAGCTGGAAAGTTTTTTGGATTGGAAAAATGTTGGAATCAGTTTAGGAAAAGGATGTAGACTCAGAACATCTGATTCCCAGTTTGGGAGATGATTCATTTCTCATTTATTGTAAGACTTACATTGTGATTACAGCTGAATTTCTTGACCATCATATCCCTTGCTAGTTTCACTATTCCAGGAAGTCCAAGTGGTGATTCAGATTTAAGTATCAAAAGCAATATAATATGAGAATCAGACAAATCAGTTGAGGCATACTTGAGTAAACATTTAAAATTCCATTCATTTACTTACCCATCATTTTTGACGCATGATTTAACCCTGGGAAACATGTTCAAAATTTAAACCAATATTCAAAGAATCAATTATTTGCATCAATTTTAGTGCCTCCTTGGGTTGGCACTTACAGGCTGGAATCAGCATTTTTGGTGAATCTTCATCATTTATTGGGATTGTCAGCTCAGAGAATTGATTGATTGTTTCTTTGAAAGGGCTTTTTTGAAGACTTACAGGTGAGGATCCAAATGTTCTGCTGGGTTGTGTTGGTACATCCGCTTCATCAATCTTGGGCTTGAAGCTTGGACTGGTGTTTCCATGATGAGTACCAAGAGGGTGCCATAAAAAACAACCAAATTTCCAGGTAAAGAGAACATTCTAGGTTTGGATCTTGGATTTTATGCTTCTATTGAATGGTTAAACCACCAAACTACTAGTCAATCAGAAAAATGTGACCCACAGTTAATGATTCAAGACAGGGAAAATTTGAAGGTAAAAATTATTAAAAATAAAAGAAAATTGGCCTGGGTATGAAGATCCTTATATAGATGTTCAAGGTTGAAAAACAGGTTGCACAGAATTACCCTCTTGGAGGGAAGTGTTCTGATGGAACATTATTTCAAATAAATACAATCTGTTTCATAGTTTGTATTGAATTATGTCACTCAAAAACCATTTTGGCTGAGTAGTTTCACCAAAGGCAAAGCTTGTCTCAGGAAGTGTCAAGTGGGTAAATATGTAGCTGAAGATAAGTTCCATGTGCTCCGCTCTCACAAATAGCCAAATTCATTGGATGGATATTTTAAACCAATTTATTTTTAGTTATAAGCCTCCAAACATTTGTGCCTGAGAGATCAAATTAGTGGCCTTCAGACAAGACAATGAGATTTGGATTTTAATTTCAAGTGGTATCATCATCAAGTCACACTAGTTCAAACTAAAGCTAAATTCACGTTATTGCAGACAAAATATACTACAAACCCTGGTTAGTAGTAGTTACCATATCTTTCTCACACATGATTCATCAATATAGGTGTTTGTGGCATGCTTCAGAATCAATAATTGAGATTTAATCTGGATGACACATCAGAACAGGCATTAATCAAACCTCTGTACCATGACATGTATATTTCTAACTGATATGGAATACTTCCACTCTTAGTGTCAGAAAAGCTGTCCCTGGTGGTGTTCCCACAGAGAATGTCAGGTGGGCAGACATGATTCCTTGGCTGGGTCTCCCATCTGTTGAACACCCATACAAATGGTTTGGAGGTACAATAACAGGTTTTCAATGTCCACCCAATTGGCCATGCATCAGACATGATGTCATGGTTATTAAATTATCAGTCTGTTAGTCCAAGCTCTGAACCACAAAGTGGGCAGGTGCTTTCACCTAAATTAGCTGCAGATAATTGTAGTTAAATACAATATACCTGTCTCTGTGGTCCCACGGTCCTGCTACCATAAACTGATTTCATATTTGATGATTAAAGCAACAACCACACTGATCAAGCAGAAGAAGAAATAGAAAAACATAAAGGATAGAATATCGATTAACCAATCAGGTAAGCTTTGATAGAATGTTCTGCATTGTTGAGACTGAATAACTGACTGTGATTCTATACATCCACAGTTGCAGTCAACAAGGACAAAAGCAGAAAAATAGCCACACACCATCCTTGAGGAATAGCAGAAGTTACATCTCTGTCCAGATTTTAACTTGAGTGAGAGTAGCGCTAACAGCTACTTTTATACTGTCTAAAAAAATCAAGTGGTGCCCATACATTGCATCAAGTTGTTGAGTGGCAAGGTGAAAAAGAATAGTCAACCTTAGAGATGGCACTTCAGCACTTTTTGGGGGGTACCTACCACACTTCAGAACACACTCTTCACACCACCAGCAACCAGCCTTGCAGGTTGAGGTTCCAGTACTGAACCTTGGTCATTACTGCACCATCCACCTGCATGACTGGTGGCTTGTGGTGTGTACATAGGTAATTTTTTGAAGTGTGGCAGGTACCCCCAACATGTTCTAAAGTGCCATCTCTAGTCAAATGTTTGAAGTAAGAAGTCAATGAATTTCATTGCTTAGTGCTAGTTGTCCCAAACTCACCACATGAGTATGGTGGTTAATTTCATCTCATTCTGCTTAGTTCAAACAAGAAAGGTCCATATAGGCCAACTTAGTTTTCCTTTCTTTCTTAACTCTCCTTTTCTTATTACCTCATCAGTTGAACAGGCACTCCTGCTCTTAGTTTTGTCTATGTTATCTGTTTTCAATACCCAATTAATTATGTTAGATAATTAGTCTTCATTCTCATGAAATGAAATCCTAGTCTTTTGTATTTTTCAAATGGTTGACTGGGTGGCCTGTTTCCTCTGCCAGAGCCCACCTGGAATCCAGATGTGGGGCTGTTTCCTCTGTGGCCCTACCACACATGCTGTTTAGCCAAAGCCAACTGACAGATGGGCCAATATGCTCAGCCTGGTGGCCACTGCCAAAATGATCAATGGAACTCCAAGTCAACCTGTGGACACAGTCAACTTTGAGTTGAACCTTGGCACCTTGCAGTCACATTTTGTGGACCTGTACAACAGACTTGGTGGCCCTAGTAGTACTTACCCAATTGGAGATCAGTCAAGGTGCTTCATATCTGGAAATCGTGTCTTCTTGGATAAGTATTCAAGCTTTGATCAAGCTTTTTGTGATGGATTCTACAATTTTGCTTGGATAGTATAAAGTAAAACTTTTACAAGGGTGTTATTCTATGAAATACAAATTTGAAATGGGATTTGTGCTGAAAAAGAAATTACCTGACCAATTTTAATATCTGATTAGTGGATTAGAATCCATGAATTTTTCTGAATTGATCAAAACTTACTATCCAATTGGCTGAAACGTAAGGGGGAATAGCAAGTCTATTTCACCCATCTAACACATCTTTTGAAACAAACCATCAGAACTCACAATTATATCTTTGATTTCTGCCCCAGATTTACATATATAAAGCAAATCACTGTCTGATTGTTTGGAATCAGAGAAGGCTAAATCAACACTGATGGAACAACTTGATTAGGGACTCCAAAAATGCAAGGTGTTTTTTTTTTCAATTGGGCATTTGTTGAACCCAAGATTGTTGGATGGGATGAGCTCCTTTGAGCAGTACTCAAGAATAAAAAACAATTCTCTCAAGTCATTCATATTCAAGAGACATAAGGGCAGGAAATACCAATTCTTCTTATGAATTATGGGATTTATGAACAAACATCCCCAAATAGAACCATATATCAACCTGGTGGAAGAATATGATTGATCAAGTTCCATTTTTTTTCAAATGAATACATAGATTCTTCACAGCAGGTTCTCCTAGAGGCTCCAAATGGTGCAAGACTGCCTCCAAAAGCCTTTGAATTGACAGTTGGTTAAAAGATGTACATATACGGTTGGTTTTCATACTCAATACGTACTAGATTTTACACAAGTGATTCTGATGTGTTATCCAATGTCCTGATTCTCATTAAACAAGATGCTCAAGAATACAAAAAATTTATATTTCATCAGTTTAACTTTAATTGACAAAATCCAGTTCACATGAATGTGCCTAAAAAGATCAATATCAATTGTGAGGCCTACTATGAATTACTCTGACTTGTGTAATTGTAAGTGAGTAATATATAAGAGTTGAATACATAATCTATAGAAACTGAAAGTTTATCTCTTGGGATCCCAGTTAGATATATAAGAATTTTGAATTTAATGATTAACATTTTATATTGCTTTACAACTTTTAATCATAAACACAAAAAAAGAAATATTGACAAGAAAAGGAAAAAGAAAAGGGGAACAACAACAAAAATCTACTAAATCATATGAATTTATGAAAAGATGATTTGTTGAGACTCATAATTAATCATGTGCATTAACAAAAAAACTCCAAAAACTCAGCATAAGAAAATCATGAAGGTACAAATCATAAGATCAATAATAACTAAGGCCCCGTTTGGCTGTCTGTAATTTGTAATCTTGAGGCAAGGTTTGGCAGGAGTTTGCGGGAGAATTTCATATTGTTTTATATTGCATGGTCCAAATCTGTGCCAGACCTTATCCAAATCACAAATCATGATTTACGGCCAAACAGGGCCTAATGATCAGAACTATGCCATTAATATGACAGCATACTTTGTAATTAGTTGATATTGTTATAATGTAATAATGAAACTTTCAGTTCCCATTGCTGCATCAGAGCTATGGTGGCCATGTTGTTGTCCAGATGCAGCATGGGTCTTTATACTGGCACCCTGGATGAAATGATGTTCCATTTGGCCATTTTGAAGTGATTTCACCATCAGTTTGTGAAAGAAAAGTTTTTTTGGTCAGATTGCTGCTTCACAGTCTCCATACATTTTGTCTCTTTTTTTTGTGGGGAGGGGTTCACTTTTTCAATTTTTTTTTTCTAGATCCACTTTATAAGAACCACCTTTGGAGGCCTTGGAATATTGCCAAACCCAGCTTTGTTTTGGTGCTTTCAGCCTCCGCCGGTGCCTCTACCGTCTACGGGTTCGATGTTGGAGCCGTCAAGGCCGATGGGTCCTTGTTCTTCAGCGGCGCGTTTTGGTGGCATTCACGGAGGGAAATGCGTCCACGGTTGAGTGAGACTCATTCCTGAGCTTCCGCGTCGCTTTTTCACCCATCCGTCGGGTACCCCACTTTGGAGGCGCATATGCCGGGTCGGGTCTCGAGAAGGCATGTACATACGCGAGCCCGGAAGGCCCGAGCTTGGGCAGCCTCTCCATCGAACGCACGCAGTGCGGGAGAGGCGTGTACATATCCTTAAAATGAACAAGCTCGCGTGTCACGGTCGAGTTTTTCGAAATTTATCGTGCAACTATTGCCGGAAAAGAGGTGGGCAGGGTGTATGTACTCAAGATGGGGGTCTTCATCCCTATCATGAACAACTTAAAAAATTCTCCAAATCCCGACTGTTTCTTAAGAAATCAATGGCGGTTGAATCTACGGTCCCGTAATGATACAAAAAATTCATGAAATTGGATGAGCTTGTTGGGAAGATCGGCAGCTTGAGCTCTAGTCCCGCTTCCGAATCTGCCCAGACTCGGGCATAAGGGAGGTGCAGCCGACCAAATGTCGGCTACACCGAAAGTGCCCACCCTCCAAAGCGAGGGACCTTGTTAAGTTCGCGGAAGGCCGGATAGGAACCTTGTATGGTGTTTTTATCTCAAGCTGTTCACCTTCCATTTGCGAGATACTGCAAGAATGTTCGAGGTGGTTCAGCAACTGACGTGGCTAATCTCAGCTCAAACAACAGTAAGGGATAGGGCATCCAGGTGTCAAGTTTCAACAAAGACTTCACAATCGAGTCCCAAAAGAGGTCTAGTCGCTGGTTTCAAGTGAAATGAACGGGAGGCTCGGGGGAAAAGAAAGGAAAACAGCGGCAAGTGAAATAAGCGATAGACGCATACAAAGGGCCCAACAGATCACAGCGCAAAGATTTCCTGATAAAGTGCTCATTTCACGACAATCGATTCGGTTAGTAGCTATGAGCTAGTAGATAGACAAGAATATAGGAGTCTCAAAAGGCGCCCAGATTTGAACGCTTTCCGGATTATTTTGGCATCTCCTGGCAGTGTTGGTCGAAAGTTGCATCCTTTGGAATGCCCTCACCACTGCCCATCGCAGCCTGAATTGCAAACATTCACAGAAAAATATGAGCGAGAAGGAAGTAAAACCGGAAGCATGCGTTTATATCTGTTAATCCCTGCAATTGACTTACATCCACCCTTTTCCACATCCAATCATCGCCACAGTAAGGAGTAGTTTGACAGCCAGCATAGACCAGAGGGTCAGCCTCATACGTTGGCGTTAAATTAGACACTTTCAAATTGCACCCCCAGGAAATCGAATGAGATTTTTTTGAAGGTCAGAAGATTGAGCATTGCACATTGTACATAACTGGAAGGGCCAAAGAAAAAACTCCACTCACTGATCAACCTTAATCCGCCTGGGGTCGGAGTACCGCACATTCCATGAGGTCTGGCAATAGTACACTCCAGCCTGCCAAAAGCGGCCCCGAAAGCCGATAAGATGACGATCGTAGTGGTAATTAAATGCATGGCCTCGATATAACTGCTGGTGATCTCGAAACTCTAGTATAAATAGTGATAGCAAGGTAATGGATGTGATTGGTGAAGAGCGAAGGAAGCGTGAGGTCAGCCTGTTCTTTATAGGCACCGAGTTGAATTTTTCTCTGAGATTTTGATACATATTGGCAGTGACCATGCAATCCGGCTGATTTAATCCCGGTGTTCGCGACGCCAGACCACCAGTCGGCAAGAATGTTTGGTAAGATTGCTGTTGTACAACGTACCTCAAGACGATTTTGGCGTACATATAAATGTAGTACACAAGTAGAAATCAAGAAACAAGAGGAAACAGGAGCCCATGAGTTGTGGGCGTCGATACAAATGCAGACTTGTGTAACAATGTCACGGAATATAATGTGACCGCCGCCAATCATATGTAGTTGGTGGTGACCAAGCCACCTGATGCAATCTGGCTGAGTTAATCACGGTCACTGTCCAAAGCTGATTGCTCGGACAAGCCGGTCCGAGTGTAGGAACGTGGAGTCGGTAATCAGTGTGGATTCCGGTAAATGTGGCCCGGAGGAGACAGATGTAGTCTCCTCCGGCTGGCTGAGCCGCAGCCGAGTCACACTCTGTGACCTAGGTCACCACACTGAGGACGCATCCGTGTAATAATTCATGGTTTTAGCTGATGTTATGGGTTTACATGATAAATGCTATGCATTTATGACATAGATTATTATTATGTCATGCTATGTTTTCTACGACTTTTGATCGGGGAAATCGCAATGACATTGTTCTTATGACAATCTGTTCCTGTTTTCATTATTACTTTTGTCAATCATTGATTTTCCTTTATGATCTTTCATTTCGACAATCTTTGTTCCCTTTCTTTCTTTCTCTCATCTCAATATTTCTTGTTATTTACATTCTCCTCAGAATTAATAAACTTATAAAATAAAGGAATATAAAAACCTTATCAAGTAAGAGATTTAGTTTATTGTGTCATTATTGGTGAGTTATCCTCTTGGGTAAATTCATAGCCATATGAGTTAGGGACATTAAAAAGGTTTAACCATAAACCATGAACCATCCGCCTCCAAAGGTATTGCTACTAGCAATGTCGTAGGAGACATGAATTCTCCCACTGAACCTTGGTGTGCTCCCAATAATTTCCATCGGGACCCTCTTTTTATACCTTTTCTTGCCCATTGTCTTTCCCCGCTCCAGTCCAAGTCTTAAGAAAGTTGTGGCTTCCCCAATCCTCTATTCCGTCATCTCCAGTAGTTTCCTTTTGCCATCTTTAGCCTGAAATCTATACCACCACCCTGTCACCATACTTAGGGCCTGTACCGTAGGGTTCAATTTTCAAAAATGTGCATTTTTTCCATCCTCTACACAAAAACTGGGAACAATTGGAGAGATCTGGTGTTGAAATTCTTCACTTTCATGCCAAAGACTAGCTTCTAGTTATGGTCAATTTTGATAATATAAAATTTTGAGCAAGATAAATTTTGAGAAATTGAATTTTCATGTCCTATGGTACAGGCCCTTAAGGCCGTCATCCTTTTTCCTTTTTCAACTTGACCCCTATTCTGCATCAATAAATTTTCATCTACAACTACCCTAAAAAGCCTGCTACGCAAACGAGTGCCATATCTCTCAGTAACTCACTGCTCCTTGCCTGATTCGCCATCATGGATCCGGTACCTAGATCTTTCTTCTACACAAAATCACCATCCTCAGCTTTCACCTTTGCTCACTCCACCCTCAACACATTTAATAGTCCAGATATCAGGTTCCCTAAATTTTTGGCCATTCCGGAACCTCTTTTTTGCCTTTTTCTTCTCTTTCCAATGCCAAATCCAATATTAGGTACCTCCATTTTCTTATGATTCCTTTCCTCTCCGCATACATCCAGAAAGGCCATCTACTCGAAACATCAAATACTCAACCGAGATATCAATGCTCTATTCACCAGTTCTGTTTCACCAGTTCCACTTTGCTTTTATCTCATCCATGGTTTCATTATGTACTTCATCAAAGGAAGTCGACTTTTCACCAAGACAATATTCTTTCTTGAGGATGGCAGTATCCGCTTTACTTTTGTCAACACTTCTGTTCCCTATGCTAATCGCCTTAGATGATCCAATTTACCCTCTTATATTATTACTGCTAAGCCCATGACACTTGCGGCTATGGCTCTCCAGGGCCCTGGTTAACTTACTACGGAACAATCAATTCTTTCTCTCGCAAAGGGCCAATAGAAGTCCACACCAACACCTCATACTGGCAAACAGAATGTCCATCTTTTATGAGGCATGGCAGCTCACCGCACATTAATGGACATTTCCGGATCCTGTCCCATGATGTTGGAATTCTTGTGCAGCTGTTATTCCCATTTCTCAGCTACTGCTGATTCCTTGCCCCTATTAGGAGCCTAACACCTTAACTGATATATTAAGAATAAATTGATGCAAAGAAGATATTATTCTTGTAAAATTTAACATGGGAAGTTGAATAAAGAAATCAATATTGATTCTTTTTCATATGGCGGTGTAGCCGCCCCAAGACACTAGTAGTAGGCTACCCCTCACAATCCAACCGGCTTGTCCGAGCATTATTGCATGCAGTGGGTGTTTGTAACAACAGACCACCAAGTTGGCAAGAATGTTTGGGAAGAATGCCAACAATTCACATCAGTATAAATCAAGAAACAAGTGCCCATGAGTTGTGGGGGTCAATACATATTCAGGCTAACTTTGTAATTGTCACGGAAAATCATGTGACACTAGGAGGACCCCCCCTATAAAGGTGCCTAACCAAAATGTAGGGAT